AAGGAGGAGCAGCCACAAGAGCGGTGGCGAAGTCAAGGCGGCGGGTAGAGGCAAACTCAGTGACTGCGGCAGTAAGAGCGGACACAGAGGACACAGAGGCACGAGGGTGAGTAACAAGTGAGGCGAGAACACGAGAGAGAAGAGGACGGTACGTGCGGTAGTAGTCAGTGACAGGAGTAGGGAGCGACGCAGTGAGAGCCGACTCAGGAGGAGACGGAAGCACAGACGGAGACGGACGAGGTGGACTAGAACGAAGTAAGGCAGTACGAAGGTCAGTGAAGGGAACAGGAGACGAGGGACGAGCACGAGGGGAGCGACGAGAGGCCCAAGTCTGAGAAGGAGGAGGGGACAACGAAGACTGAGAACGAGGGAAAACAGCGGGAGAGGGGTCAGGAGGAGGAAGCGGAGGACCAGAGACGGGAGGAGAGGGGGAGGAGGAAGGAGAGGGAGAGGGGAGACCAAGGGTCCGAAGACCCGAGACAGGAGGAGGAGACGGCAGCTGCTGCTGCTGCGGCTGCTGCGGCTGCTGCTGCTGCTGCGGCTGCTGCTGCTCCTGCTGCTGTCGCTCCTGCTCCTCGAGCCGCTGCAACTCTCTCTCCTCTCTCTCCAACTCCAGCTGCTCCTCACGAGCACGACGAACACGAGCCTGGAACCTGGTCGGGTAGGGGTGGGGGGAAGGAGTAGTGTCCGGGGCAGCGGCAGCCCCAGAGTCGACCTCCGAAGCACCAAGCACACCACCCCCAGAGGCAGCACCAACACCAGCTCCAGACCCAGGCCCTCCAGAAACCGAAGGGACACCCTCACCCCCAGACGCAGCACCCCCAGACTCCGCACGACCAGTACCAGCCCCCGGAAGACAAGAGTCCTCTGCAACCCGCGGCTCAGCTCCAACTCCAGCACCCCCAGAACCAGAGACCTGTACAGGGACAGTCGCCGGACCAACCTCTCGAGAGGGAGCACCTGCAGGAGGCGGCGAGGAAGACTGTGGGGAGGGAGGCTGTACAGGGGGGGCTACCGAAGGGGGAGGGCTAGCCTGAGACACACCAGACGGGGCTGGACCAGGGGGGGGAGGCTGTACCGGGGGAGCAGGCGGGGGAGCGGCTGTCAGGAAGAGGGGGGGAGGAGGAACCGGGAGACCTCGACTGGGGTACCTGACGTAGTACGGGGTGGACTCCTCGAAACGGACGTCACGGGAGTCAAAGAACCGGTGAGAGGGAGGGTGGTAAAAGGTGAAGTCAGAGGAGTCCTCAGGGAAACCAAGGAAGACACAAGGAACGGCGCGAGGCGAGAGCTTGTCCGCGGAGGTGTCGCGGACAAGAGCCAAGCACCCCCAGACACGAAACCTCGACGCGACACCAGGGGACCCTGTCCAAAGACTGGTCGGTGAAGCCTCCGGCCGAGAGACGCGTGGCCAGAGGTTCAGCTGGTGCGCGGCGTACCTGACTGCGTATGGCCACAGGAAATGGGGGGCACGGGCGTGAGTCAAGGAGGTGCGGGCAATCTCCATGACCAGGCCTATGCGACGCTCAGCAACCCCATTCTGCTGTGGGGACTCCGGAAGCGTCCAGGACTGACGAATGCCCTGTTCGCGACAGAATCCAGCGAGAATGCCGGAGCGAAACTCGCCCCCGCGGTCGGAGTGGAGACAGCTGACACGACGACCACGAGTGTCCTGGGTGGTAAGCAACCACCTGATCAGCGTAGAAGTCACCTCAGACTTCTTCGCCAGGGGGAACACTGTGGTGTAGCGGGAGTAGTCGTCAACGACCACCAAAAAGAAACGCTCACGCTCAGGGCCAGGGCGAGGAGAAGGGCCCCAGACGTCCAAGTGCAGCGTCTCAAAAGGCTCGGTGGCCGGACGAAGGGAGGAGGAGTGAGGGGTGGCACGCAGCCTACCCTCGACGCAAGGACCGCACGGTGGTGCAAGGGACGGCGGCAGCGACGGCAAGACACGCGGGAGACCTAAGACCAGACGCTGACTAGACATAGCACGCAGACGTGGAAGAGAAGGGTGTCCCATCCGGTGGTGCCACAGAACGGTGGGGTGGGCAAGCGACCGACAGGAGCAAGACGCAGCGACTGGACTGGACGCGACAACCTGAGGGGACGGAACCACCTGGTGAGACGCAGGGAGGAGACTAGGGGGAGGGACAGGAACTGGGAGGAGTGGCTGCTGCGACGGCGGCCGCTGTGGCTGCGGCTGCGGCTGCTGCCGCTGCTGCTGCTGCGGCTGCTGCTGCTGCTGCTGCTGCGGCTGCTGCTGCTGCTGCAGTCGCTGCTGAGCGCGCGGGCCAGTGTGAAGAGTGTAGAGACCGGAGCCCGGCTCAGCAGCAAAAGTGGCGAGGGGCTGGTAAGAGTCCCCGTCAACACACACCGCAGTCTCTCCAGAAGGCTCAAACCACACACCCACGTGCTGACTCACGAGGGGTCGCACGCCCACCAAGTTCCGGGAGAACGAGGGGACGTGAAACCCAGTGAGAGACCCAGAAGGAGCAGCCGGACACGGCAAGGTGGTAGTGTGACGCGCAGTGACTGGTCCCGAAGTGGGATCAGCCAGCGCCACAGAAACAGGCGCAGGAAGAGGCGTAAGTGTCGTGCTGTCACGAAAGAAGCAGTGAGAGGCTCCAGAGTCCAGCGTGAACGACAGCGAACCGTCCTCTGAGGTAGCCGCTGGACTAGAGTCTACACAAGAACCTACACTAGCAACAGGCAACTGAGCAAGGCTAGCACCTAAGCTAACAACACCAGAGTAAGCAGAGTCAGAAACACTAGAGTCAACAATAGCATACATAGCATGGGGAGTACCAATCAGATCAACTAACTGCTCAGCAGACATGCCCCACAGAGCGGAGCCGTAGCGCTGAACAAGAGGCAGCCAGTCAGGGGCAGGAGCACCAACCCCGTAGACCAAACGAACCGTGTCAGTGAGCTGAGCAAAGCACTGACCAGGGGGGTGAAACCGGCCACAAGGGTGGCCACGACGAGTGCCTGTCAGAACCTGGTAGGTGCAGGGAGTGTAAGCAGCACCGCGCTGGGTCTGACGCAGCCCCGACCCTGGAGCCAGCTGCTGCCGCTGCTGCTGCTGAGGCTGCTGGGAGGAGAGGGGCTGCTGGTGCTGCAGAAGCTGCTGCTGACGCTGAGCCTGGTACCACGCCGCTGCTCCACCAACCGGGGCAGGAAGTACAGGAGGCGACTGACGAACTCGGGCGTCGCCACCACTAGCAGGCGCAGTGGAGTCACCAGTCACTGCACGAGGCGCCTCTCTAGGCCCGGAACCTCCACCGCCGCCAGGCGCAACGCCACCTCCACTACCTCCGCCTCCACCTCCACTACCACCACCAGAACCGCCTTTCTTGCCACTCCTACCGCGGGACCGCGACGCAGTCGTAACAGCAGCTGCAGTCGCGTCAGTAGCGGCAGTGGCAAGTGAGGCAGTAAAGGTGGGTAACTGCGGGACTGTGCACCCGTGGAAGAGTGGGGGGGGCACAGCACCAGAGGCAGCGGCTACCGAGCGAAGGTTGCTCTCGACGTCCTTGAGTGCAGACTCAAGGACATCGACGGTGAGCTCACTAGGGTGCTTCAGCAGAAGCGCGTCGCGAACGGAGGCAAGGCGGTCAGGGAGGCTAGTGGCGATGAAATAGATAGTAATCGCCATAGGGGGAGGAAGCAGTGCAAGCTGTGCCTCAGTGCAAGCAGCGCGGTAACTAGCGTCGAGCGAGCGGAGGTGAGCGATCAAGTCAGCAGAGCGCTCAAACGAGGCGAGATCAGGAAACAGGAACGGGAGGAAAAGACGGCCAAGAGAGACAGTAGCGGGAGTAGAGTAGCGGGCCTTAATCGCAGTGAGGTACGCAGCAGCGGTGCGAACCTGAGTGAAGTGGACCTCCTCTGACTCAGGGAGGAGGCTGCTGAGTGCGATGCAGGCCGCAGCGTCACGCGACGTCCAAGCCGTCCTGTCAGCGCGCTGACGGGCAAAGCGAGCCGTAGCAGCATCGTCAGGGGCAGGACCTAAAGCGGCAGGCTCGGGGGGCTCGGGGAGGTCACCAGTAGCGTGCGACCAGAGGGTCTCGCCCCCCTGGACTTGACTCTCTAACAGACGGCGAGCGCGAAGAAGCCAGACGGAAAAGTCAAGAGGTCTACCGTCAGCGTCGAAACGAAGAACTCGCGGAGTCGCCATAGCGAGAACGAACGCGAACGAGCAGGCGAGTAACAGCAGGAGGTAAGAGGCAAATTAGGGTTCAGGTGGGGGGACTTAGTCGCAGCGGAACGGGGGAAAGGGCGGGCGCGATGCGACGGGGCAGGGCGACGCGACGGGGCAGGGCGACGCGACGGAGCAGAGGCGACGGGACGGGGAAGGGCGACGCGACGGGGCAGGGCGACGCGACGGGGCAGGGCGACGGGACGGGGCAGGGCGACGGGACGGGGCAGGGCGACGGGACGGGGCAGGGCGACGCGACGGGGCAGGGCGACGGGACGGGGAAGGGCGACGGGACGGGGCAGGGCGACGGGACGGGGCAGGGCGACGCGACGGGGCAGGGCGACGGGACGGGGAAGGGCGACGGGACGGGGCAGGGCGACGGGGCAGGGCGACGCGACGGGGCAGGGCGACGGGACGGGGAAGGGCGACGGGACGGGGCAGGGCGACGGGACGGGGCAGGGCGACGCGACGGAGCAGAGGCGACGGGACGGGGAAGGGCGACGGGACGGGGGGAAAGGGCGCGACGCGACGGGGGGAAAGGGCGCGACGCGACGGGGGGAAAGAGCGCGACGCGACGGGGGGAAAAGGGCGCGACTCGACTGGGGGGAAAGGGCGCGACGCGACGGGGGGAAAGGGACGCGACTCTGATACCATGTCAGAATGAAGAATGGATGGTGCATTGATGTTGGTTGGGGTACATATAGCTAACCCTAAGTTTTGTACCCCCTAAGACAAACCTCACTATAGGCTACAACATTTGACACCTTCATCCACCATTGTATCAACCACAGTCGCCAACTTCCCCTCATACTTCTGCCCTTTCTTCAATCTAAACACCACCGCAAATACATCTACATCCTTTGATCTCTCCGCAATCAACCTCCCAATCACTCGGCACGCGTTCTCATCCACTAAAGACGGTAGAGACATCCTCAAATCCTTGGCACTCGTAGTCGCGATCGAAACCACCCGGCTGGTAACCCTATGCATCACTTTCGCGCTCACGTAACGCTTGGAAATGTACACGTCCAGGAGAAACGGCTTCACGAACTTCTCGTGCCGCTCTTTCCAGGACTTAGCCTTTGGCTTGGCTGCCTTGCTGCCGCTGCCCCCTGCTGACTTGCCTCCTTTTCTGGTCCATCCAGCTGCCTCTGTTTTGGGGAGGATCCGAGTGCTTCTCTGGCTGGTGGGTGTGAGCGAACTGTCCCACCCCTGCAATGGAATGAAGGAACAAGGGGAGGGAGGAGCGATGCAGGCAATCACTGGGGTGCGTGATGCAAAGGGGATCACAAGGGTGCAGAAGGGTTCGTAGAGAGGAGTGCTTCTCTGGGTGGTGGGGGTGAGCGAGTTGTCCCACCCCTGCAATGGAAATGAAGGAACAACGGGAGATCCAGAGGCGAAGGGGGCGCAATGTGAGGCGTGCACAGGCTGGAACAGGGGTACACTGAGGTGCAGAGGGGTTCACAAAGCATTCAGGGGTGCGTAGGGTTGGAAAGGCGTGAGTAGAAGTGCACTGGGCTGCACGACAAACGAAGAGAACAACAGGATGCGAGAAGTTGAACATTGGGAAGGAGGGGTTCAGTATGGGGAGAGATATAATGGATTGAAGGGGGTGAAAATAATAAGGCTGGCCCAACACGACTGCATCAATCCGACAGTGTAGGTGCCTTCTCTGAAATCTTAATCTACAGTATTCCGTCAAACCACGCCAACGCAAGCCACACTTTACGTAGCCAATCGTGCACGAAGCCACACCCGGGCATATCGCGTACAACATTGCTCATGTTCGTAAGTGTACCCCATAGTGTTATACCCCATACTATCATACCGCGTTACGCCGTACAGCAGACACGAACGAGCTGGTGCCGATGGAATCGCCAAGAAACCGGGAGGAGCCAAGCCATTGGCCTGCAGCGAAACGTGCCGATAGCGGTGCAGCGAAGGGAACAAGGCTCGTTTGAGATGTACACAAAGGCGCGACACTCGATCGCGAAGGAGCTAGCAGCGGAGCGACGGACCATCGGACGGCGCTCCGCGATATCGCCATCGAGCCCATCCGAAGCGCGCCTATCGTAACCGGCGTTGGGGAGAGGACGAATCGCCGAGGGCTTACGAGGCTCGCGGCCGCGGAAACAGGGCTACGCGTATGCTTTGTGGAAAGCGGCGCTGTAGATTACGGCAACGCCGATTATGGGTTGGTGAGATAGTTTGCTCTTTCGCTTGTGCACTGTCTGTCATACTGCTGTTGATCCCTCCACCCCTAATACCATGGCTTCGATATAGCAGCAGTGAAGGTTCGTGAACAAGTCGAAACACGACTCGAACACAAGGAGGGAAATGCGATCGAAATCTGTGAAATAACTTACAGCAAAACAAAACCTAGATATGCTCTACTAATGATATAACATTTTCTCTACACAATATATGCGTGAAATACCACTAAAAAAACGCGGCTTTAGACAACAGGTCCTTGAAAACCCGTACCTCTTTCTAGAGTGGAGTGAACAATAGGCTGATTTGTGGATTACTCCAATAAAAAACTACATACTACCCTTACTTAGGCAAAAAAACAACTGTTGCAACAGCTTGTTTTCATGTCCACTGTCCCCATTTTCAGAGCAGCTTCTTCCGATGGAAGTAGGAGAGCAAGAACCACAGCTGGATGGATGCTAGCGCCACACATATTAGCAGCGATGTGATGCTAATGAAGGCCACCCGCTCGTTGGTCAGCTCATTAGAGTCCCGAATTTCTGACTCCCTTTTTTTTAAAGAGGTGAGGAACAGGAGAGAAGGGAAAGGAAGGCAATGAAAACGAATGGTTAGGAGGGGGTAATAAAATAGGCAAGGCTAAATACACATTCATAGGGGAAAAGGGATGTTGGGAGAAGACACAAGGAGAGAAGGCTTTGGATGATTCATTTTTTAAACCACACGTAACAGAACACAGATCACCTCTCTAATTTTGAAGAGAAGATGCAAGCATTGTTTCCCTTGCTTTAGCTGATCAAATATCACGTCAACAAAACTGTTGGGACAAGCATCATGGTTGAGAGCTGGAGGAATAAGATTTTGGTGTTTCACATATTCGGAATTTCGTGTCCCCAGCATCTCACCTACTCAGCATTTCATCTCCCCCCCGTCTCACCTCCCCAGCATCCTACCTGTGTCTCACCTCCCCCTGAAGTAGGTCATTTCATCTCGGATGGCCCTCACTGTTTCATCCAACTTCCTCAGCTCAGCTCCAACCTTATGCCGGGTTGGGCCCTCAACACTCCTCCTGCTCAAAAGCACCCCACCTCCCCAGCATCCCACCTCCCCCGCCTCACCTCCCTCTGAAGTAGGTCATTTCATCTCGGATGGCCCTCACTGTCTCATCCAACTTCCGCAGCTCCAATCCCATGCCCTGTTGGGCCATGCCATGCCAAACAACGTCATGCATGTTTTGCAGTTTTAGTACATCCGGGCCATGCCATGCCATGCCATGCCATGCCATGCCAAACGATGCCATGCATTGAATGCCATGTCGTAGTATAGCCATGCCATAATGCGATGGCACGCCATCCCAAGCATTAAAGAAGGTGGCAAGGCTGTGGTCCGCACGAGTTCAACTCAGCAGGCCGTAAAATAATGCATGGATGCAGCACAGCAAGCAGCAGGTACAGCCTAAGCCACAGACAAGGGGACTCGGACAGACATAACCCCCTCATCAAGTATCGATGGGTGAAGCTGTACTCGAATGAGAAGATGGGCATGAGCCTGAACCCTTGACCTGACTAGTGCCCCGGCTTGCTCACATCAATCTTCTCCTTCTTTGCTATGCTCTCCCAGTCCTTAGCAGCCACACCCGATCGCCACTCTAGGTCCACCTGCTCATAGACACACGCACAGCGCATGATGACATGCAAAACATTGATTAGGTGTATTCTGTTAGATCTCAACAGTCTGCTGCTACGATCCAAAAGTGCCCCTCCTCCATGCTGCTCTGCCTCCTTATAGTCACTCATTCTCACATACACACCCACGCACACACACAAACATACATAACATGATGGTATGCACCTCAGGAGTGGCATGCGGCATCCGGAAGCATGCCATAAGCTGCTCCGACTCCTTGATCTTCCCATGGCTGCCACGCACCTCCTTATACTCACACATTCACACACTCACACACCGAGACATGCGTGTACCATAAGGGAGTGTTCGCCAGGAGTGCCATGCGGCATCCAGAAGCACGCCATGAACTGCCCTGATTCCTTGGCTGTGAATTCAAAGTGCCCCTCTAACCCACGCTGTTCTGCCGACTTACTTTCACTTACTGTCACACAGACCACACTCACTCATGCACATACATACCATGAGGGAATCCTTGCCCGGCGTGCCATGGGGCATCCAGAAGCACGCCATGAACTGGCCCGATTCTTTGGCCGTGAATCCAAAGTGTCCTTCCTCCACGTCGCTCTGCCAGTGCAGCTGCCGGCCAAACGGGGATGTCACCTGCCGTGCAGTGATGTGCGGTGATGTGTGGTATGTCAGGGAGAAGAGAGACAAGGCGCATGAAAAGAAGTGCCCTTTCTCCACCGAGCTCTGCCAGTGTGGCTGCCGCCCAAACAGGGATGTCACCCGCAGTGATGTGATGATGTGCGATAGGTCAGCGAGAATAGGGATGGGTTTTAAGGCACATGATTCGAGGTGCCTCTAACCAAAACTTGTCGTCGCTCCTCCACGTCGCTCTGTCAATGCAGGTTCCGCCCAAACGGGTATGTCACCTGCCGTGATGTTACGTGATGAGATGTGATGATGTGATGTGATGTAATGTGATGTGATGTGATGTGATGTGATGTGATGTGATGTGATGTGATGTGATGTGATGTGACGTGATGTGCCATGATCTGCGGTATGTGAACCATGCCATGCCATGACATGCCGGAACATGCCGTGCCATGAGGCATGCTAGGCATGCCATGGCAGGCCATACCGTGCCATCCCGTAACATGCCAAGCCAGAAACGAAAGACTTGGGTCATAGAAACACAATATTTTCTGCTCTACCCGCTCGGCACCACTTGGTCGGTGTGGCCCATCTCAAGATGCCATGACAACAGTACCCTCTTGAACACTTTTACAGTGACATGGTATAGTACTTGACTTGCCTACCTTAGCGGTGATCTTGGTGAGAAGGCTGCTCTCGCCGTTAAGCACCGCTTGGTACGTCGCGACGACGAGAGCACCCTCCTGAATGTCACCATCACATATTCCTCCACCATGAATTCAATACGGCCGCTTGGCTTACGCTAGCGGTGATCTTGGTGAGAGTGGTGCTCTTCCCCACGCAACGACGATATTACCTCCTTTGTGCGCTTTCATTCCTTTCTTTTGTAATCGGGGGATTCCTTTGCCCACCTTAGCGGTGATCTTGGTGAGGGGGCTGCTCTCGCCGCTCGGCACTACTTGGTACGACGCGACGACGAGCGTCCCCTCCTGAACCTCCTCGCCCAGACACTTGCTGTACGCCGTCACCTCGAACCGGATGCCCGCCACGTGGCTGAATCCGACGGCTAGGATCAGCAAGCACGCTACCAGCCGAGGCGCGGAGACTATTGCCATTGTGACCAGTTCGGATGGGAATGAAATCTCACCAGGTCTGAATCTGCCGAGAGATTAGAAGACAACCAGTCCGGCTACTACTTAGCAGGGTTTGGACGGGAAAATAAGAAGGGATCAAGCGTCAATGATTTCGCATTGTTGTAGAAACGAGGAAGGCTAGAATCGTGGACTTAGCTGGGCAATGCTGACTGTCTAGTGCGGACGAAACTCGGAAAAGGTTCCGTTATTAGCACCTGGAGGCTCCTACGTAAATGCGACCAAACGCGAACGAAAGGCCACACCAGCCTGACGTTTATCGACTTGGCAGCCGTAGCTGCTGCAAATCCGCTCCCTCTGACGCAGCCCGAAGAGATAGATCCAGCCTTGATGTTGCCGCGGAGAGATGTGTGTGTCCGCCTGCGAGTTGGCAATGAATAAATACTCGCTAAGAAGCTGCACTCGGTTTCGTAAGAAGACATAATATTTGTATTCTTAGAAAACAATGCTTGGATTCGAAACCGTTTCAAACCACTCAAAACGGTGCCGGAATCGTTCTTTGAAATCTTTTACGCTTTCGACAACCAAGACACGAGCACTTTTCCTCCATACGCGATATTGACTGCTCCGCTCGTATTATTCTGCATCCAAACATCTGTTCAGTCGACTGCTGGACTTGTACCAGCAAGCTCCAGGGACTATGAGCGACAAGCAGTGCCAACAAGCGATGATTAACGAAATGTAGGGACGATCAGCGACAAGTAACGACGACTAGCGATTACGAGTAGTTGGTACACCTGCAGGCCCTGGACAATCTAGGTCCATAGAGCGAGCATCGAATGCGACAGAAGCGCGAATGATGTGTTAATCCTGTGGCGTATGTATGACGAAATGCTGCGAATAACTGACGATAGGCGACCATTACCGACCACACTCGACCGCTCCTAAAAAAAACGCTTCAGTTACTAACGCGTACGCAGCCACTGCAGTTATGAAGCTGTCGCAGGTGCTGTCGCAAGCGCACGCGACAGCTGGTTACAATCGCAACAAGTTCCTCGTTTTCGCGCTTCTCTGCACCAACTGCTTCACCCTCGTCACTCTCTATGGGTACGCGTTACTGGCCGAGACTCGTTACCGTTACATCCCCCTGTCCTCCATACTTCTCCACATCCTCCCGAGGCCTTGAGAGTCCGCGTTCGCCCCGATTTCCTGTCCAACGCATCTCTCTCTCCAACCCCCACCGCCTGTGTTTCTCTTCTGAGTCGAGTTTTTTTCCCTTTTTTTTCCCTTTATCTCCCCCCACCCCACAGCCCCTGACTTGCTTCCGCCGAACACACTCATCCTCCCCTGCCCCCCCCCTGTTCCCGTTCCCCTCCTCCCCAAATCCCCCCTCCCCCCCTCTTTCCCCTTCCCCCAACCAGCACCGTCCCCCGGTTTTCCGGGACCCTGGATATTGACGACGCTGCTGACGTGGACCTGCGCAGCAGCAGGGGAAGCGGAGGGGGAAGCGCATGGGGGGAGGAAGGAGGGGGCGTGCTGGGGAAGGAGCACGGGGGGACGCCCGCGCTGCGCCTCTCCAACGCTACAGATCGCACGTTCAAGCGAGGTTTCGGCATGCAGGTGAGTGTTCTGAGTCGACTTATAATCAAGATGCAAAGGTCACATGGGTCTAGGATGGAGCAGAAGAGGGCTACCGGACGGGATGTCAGATGTCTCTGCACTGCACCACGCCTGTCCGACACTACAGATCGCACGCTCAAACGAGGGTTTGGCATGCAGGTGGGTCTGTTGGGGACTGGGGGTGGGGCTGGGAAGCGGAGGAGGGGGAAGGGGGGAGGTTGGAAAGCAAGGGCCAGAGGACACACTCGCGCCTCTGCAGTGCCATGTAGGGAGGGACTCTCATGTTCAGGTGAATGCATGCAGGTGAGAGCCAGTGCTTCATTTGTTGTTGGATAAGCTGCTATCTCTGGCAGTATGTAAGAGTGGTGCCAAGGCATGTCACACTTGCTGTACTTTTCGTCTCTACTTTTCGATAATTATCGCTTGCTGTCACTTGTTGTGATGCTTGAGCTCTCATTTCAGCCAAGGCCATCCTGTTTCCTGCAAACAGTGTATCCCTGTTCGTCTCGTCGTCCCTATTGCATTCTCTTGCTTCCCTTGTCCACGCATATTGCAACTCCACATCTGTTTCTTGTCTTTCTCTACCTCCTCCCCTTCCCCATGTGCCAGGGCTTTGTGTATTTCAGCGCATACCGAATTTCTGCAAGCCTCTTTGTGGTGATTGGCCTCTCCCCTCTGCCTCTCCACCGCAACCTCGATGCAAGAGTGTGCCGGTGAGTTATCTCCCCTTAGTGAGTTACCCTCTCTTGTTGGGCCGACTATCACAGTGGGCTTGCGAGGTGGATATGCCGTTCCCCTTGCTGTGCACTGTGATGCTCTTGACTTGAGTCGATGTGCCCTCTCTTGTCAAGCACACCCTCATACGTGCCAACGCTGACCTTTGTGCCCTCTGCTGGTCTGCTCTAATCTTCCCTTGCTCTTCCCCCTTCCCTTCCTCTTTTTTTGTTTTCCCCTTAATTTCCAGCTGGTATCCTGCCTCGTCATCCTCCTCCTTCCCTATCCTCGGCGAAATCTCGATAGAATATCCCGGCGAGTCGCACGGCAAGCCATATGAGGTGGCAATGCTGTTCTGCCAGCTCAGCAGCCCCGCCCCCGGCACGAGAGAAAGGGGGGGATGGAAGGGAGAGGGGCGGCGGAGTGCCGGGGGCCATCTGACGGTTGTGATCGAACGAGAGGAGATCTTGATGCTCGGGGAACCGGCCAATGAGAAGCTGCCACTCGAGGTGTGTAGGGTTGCTGTGCAGGTGCTTATACTGTGCTCCTCCTCTTATAACGAGGCATGTTGGTCCAATTTAATCCATTCCATATATGCATGTTCGTGTCCTCTTCTCCCTCACCAATCCCCCATTCCCCATCCCCCACCCCCCACCCCCCACTCTCCATCCCCCATCCCCCATCCCTCGTCCTCCCCAGCCGTCAGCCCCCTACCCCAGCAACATCACCCACTGACTTCGACCATTTACAGCCAGTTCAACTCCCTGAGAGTTCTCAAGTGGGTGGTATACCACCAGCAACGCACTGCCACTGGAGAAACCCGCTCTCACTGCCCTCCTATTCCACAGTTTCTCCCCCCTTTTTCCCTGCTCCCAGCCATCAGCCCCCTACGCCAGCAACATCACCTACTGCTCTTCGACCATTTACAGCCAGTTCAACTCCCTCAGGGTGCTCGAGTGGGTGGTATACCACCAGATCTGTCACAAAATAGCCCTCTGCTCTATCCTTTCCCCTCCATCTCTCCCATCCCCTAACCCCCATGTCCCTTCAACCCCTTACCCCAGCAGCATCACCTACTGCTCCTCTCCCATCTACGGCCAGTTCAACTCCCTCAGGGTGATCGAGTGGGTGGTATACCACCAGCACCGCACAACCACTAAAATTGACCCACTCTCTCCTTCCTCCTCTACCTTTCTCCCCTCTTTCTCGCCCTGCTCCCACCCAGCCCTCAGCCCCCTACCCCAGCAGCATCACCTACTGCTCCTCGCCCATCTACGGTCAATTCAACTCCCTGAGAGTGCTCGAGTGGGTGGTATACCACCAGCAGGGCCGCAGAATTGTCCCTTTCCCTTCCTTTTTCCTCCCTTTGCCCATCCCCCAGCCCTCAGCCCCCTACCCCAGCAGCATCACCTACTGCTCCTCGCCCATCTACGGTCAATTCAACTCCCTGAGAGTGCTCGAGTGGGTGGTATACCACCAGCAGGGCCACAGAATAGACCCTCACTCTATCTTTTCCCTGCCGTTTCCCCATCCCCTTACCCCCATCCCCAGCCGTCAGCCCCCTACCCCAGCAACATCACCTATTGCTCGTCACCTATTCAACTCCCTGAGAGTGCTGGAGTGGGTGGTATACCACCAGCAGGGCCACGGGGTGGACCTGCTGTCCCCACCCTCTCCCTTCCACCCTCCTTTCCCATTCTCCCCCACCCCCCAGCCCTCAGCGCCCTATCACAGCAACATCACCTACTGCTCGTCACCTATATACGGCCAGTTCAACTCCCTCAGGGTGCTGGAGTGGGTGGTATACCACCAGCAGGGCCACGGGGTGGACCTGTTCCACATGTACGATGCGGGCGGCATGGGCGAGCCTATTATGCGGACGCTGGCGCCCTTTATAAGGGCCGAGCAGATGACTGTAACGGATGTGACTGAAGTGGACGAGTTTGAGACGTGGTTCGGGCAGGTGAGAGGGAGTGCAATGGTGAGAGGGAATGTGAGAGGGGGGATAGAATTTGCGCTTTTCTCTCCCTCTTCATCTCTCACTGCGTTCTGAAATACATTATTAGATGATAGACCAACCAACCCTCCTCCGCCCATTCTCCCTGTCCACTGCCCCACCCCCTACAACCCTACCCAACCAGGTACTAGTGGTCAATGACTGTGTCTACCGCTCGCTCTTCACCACACGTTGGGTCGCATAACCTTGACTTTGACGAGTGCCTCTATATCTCACAACCTCTCGGCTCTTCCTGTCCCTATCTCTCCCTTCGCCTCCTCCTCCCTTTCCTCCTTGCTCACCCCAACCAGGTGCTAGTGGTGAACGACTGTGCCTACCGTTCGCTCTTCACCTCCCGCTGGGTGCTCTTCCTGGACTTGGACGAGTATCTCTATGTCTCGCAGCCCCTGGGGTCATCGCTCATCACCGCACTAGCTCGCTACGATGTGAGTCACACGCAATCGCTCTGACCGCTTTCTCCTGTGCTCGCACTACCGCTCGCTCTTCACCTCTCGTTGGGTGCTCTTCCTGGACTTGGACTCACAGCCGCTCGGATCTTCCCTCATCACCACACTCAATCGCTACGAAGTGAGTCCGATGTGCGCCCACTTACTGTTTGCCATTACCTCACCTCTCTTTGATGAGTACGTCTTTGTCTCACAGCCCATCGGCCCGTCCCTCATCACCGCACTCGCCCGCTATGAGGTGCGTCCAATGATCTCTGTTTGAATCTTTACCACCTGCTCCCGCTGGGTGCTCTTCCTCGACTTGGACGAATACCCCTATGTCTCACAGCCCATCGGCCCGTCCCTCATCACCGCACTCGCCCGCTATGAGGTGCGTCCAATGATCTCTGTTTGAATCTTTACCACCTGCTCCCGCTGGGTGCTCTTCCTCGACTTGGACGAATACCTCTATGTCTCACAGCCCATCGGCCCGTCCCTCATCACCGCACTCGCCCGCTATGAGGTGCGTCCAATGATCTCTGTTTGAATCTTTACCACCTGCTCCCGCTGGGTGCTCTTCCTCGACTTGGACGAATACCTCTATGTCTCACAGCCCATCGGCCCGTCCCTCATCACCGCACTCGCCCGCTATGAGGTGCGTCCAATGATCTCTGTTTGAATCTTTACCACCTGCTCCCGCTGGGTGCTCTTCCTCACTTGGACGAATACCTCTATGTCTCACAGCCCATCGGCCCGTCCCTCATCACCGCACTCGCCCGCTATGAGGTGCGTCCAATGATCTCTGTTTGAATCTTTACCACCTGCTCCCGCTGGGTGCTCTTCCTCGACTTGGACGAATACCTCTATGTCTCACAGCCCATCGGCCCGTCCCTCGTCACCGCACTCGCCCGCTATGAGGTGCGTCCAATGATCTCTGTTTGAATCTTTACCACCTGCTCCCGCTGGGTGCTCTTCCTCGACTTGGACGAATACCCCTATGTCTCACAGCCCATCGGCCCGTCCCTCATCACCGCACTCGCCCGCTATGAGGTGCGTCCAATGATCTCTGTTTGAATCTTTACCACCTGCTCCCGCTGGGTGCTCTTCCTCGACTTGGACGAATACCCCTATGTCTCACAGCCCATCGGCCCGTCCCTCATCACCGCACTCGCCCGCTATGAGGTGCGTCCAATGATCTCTGTTTGAATCTTTACCACCTGCTCCCGCTGGGTGCTCTTCCTCGACTTGGACGAATACCTCTATGTCTCACAGCCCATCGGCCCGTCCCTCATCACCGCACTCGCCCGCTATGAGGTGCGTCCAATGATCTCTGTTTGAATCTTTACCACCTGCTCCCGCTGGGTGCTCTTCCTCGACTTGGACGAATACCTCTATGTCTCACAGCCCATCGGCCCGTCCCTCATCACCGCACTCGCCCGCTATGAGGTGCGTCCAATGATCTCTGTTTGAATCTTTACCACCTGCTCCCGCTGGGTGCTCTTCCTCACTTGGACGAATACCTCTATGTCTCACAGCCCATCGGCCCGTCCCTCATCACCGCACTCGCCCGCTATGAGGTGCGTCCAATGATCTCTGTTTGAATCTTTACCACCTGCTCCCGCTGGGTGCTCTTCCTCGACTTGGACGAATACCTCTATGTCTCACAGCCCATCGGCCCGTCCCTCGTCACCGCACTCGCCCGCTATGAGGTGCGTCCAATGATCTCTGTTTGAATCTTTACCACCTGCTCCCGCTGGGTGCTCTTCCTCGACTTGGACGAATACCTCTATGTCTCACAGCCCATCGGCCCGTCCCTCGTCACCGCACTCGCCCGCTATGAGGTGCGTTCCGTGAGCCTTGAGAATCCCTTGAGCCTCGTGCACTACTGGGGCAGGAAACCAAGCCATCCCATTCCTTCCCTCCTCTGTCCCTCCACTCCCTTTCCCCTAGTTCCCAACCCAGCACGCAGCCCACGTGTCATTTGGCAGTCTCTATTTCTACACCGACAAGTGCCCGCACTCTATGAACGTGGCGGCTCCTGGGGGGCAAGCAACCATCCCATTCCATCCATAATCTGTCTTTCTATTGCTCTCTTCCCCATGCAGCAAGCCGCCTACGTGTCATTCGGCAGTCTCTACTTTTGCACCGACAAGTGCTCGCACTCCATGAACGTCTCTGCTATTGGCCAAACACCCATCCCAACCCATCCATCCTCTATCGTCTCTCCTCCACCCCCCTTCATGCGCAGCAAGCGGCCTACGTGTCATTTGGCAGTCTCTATTTCTACACAGACAACGCTCGCACTCCATGAACGTCTCTGCCTCATCGGCCCCCCGCTGGGAGGTGGAACCGGCCAACTGCTTTTACAAGGAGAACGTCTGGTGATGTCCGTCTGGATTGTATGCTGCTGCTCACCAATCTTCGTTTTCTGTGTCCTCTCTTCCCCACCTTCCTTTCGTCCACGCAGCAAGCGGCCTACGTGTCGTTCGGCAGTCTCTATTTCTACACGGACAAGTACTCGCACTCTATGAACGTCTCTGCCTCGTGGGGCAACCATCCCGTCCCATCCCGCCCCTCTTATTCCCGCCCTCTTCTATGCAGCAAGCGGCCTACGTTTCCTTTGGCAGTCTCTACTTTTACACCGACAAGTGCTCGCACTCCATGAACGTCTCTGCGTCATCCCCACCCCGCTGGGAGGTGGAGAGGATGATATTCCGCCAGGCAGACGTGCACTGTGTGGCGCCTAAACGATATGAATCCCGCGACCTGTGCCTGGGGTTTGATGGGCACCGCAAGTACATTGCTGACCCAAGAAAAGTGAAGCTGTTCGGGGTAAGTTGGAAGGGTTGGGGTGTGTGGTGTGTGAAGGCAGGTGGGATGGGAGGTGGAGAGGATGATATTCCGCCAGGCCAACGTGCACTGTGTGGCGCCCAAACGTTATGAATCGAGAGACATGTGCCTGGGGTTCGATGGGCACCGGAAATACGTGGCGGATCCCAGGAGAGTGAAGCTGTTCGGGGTGAGTGGAAAAGGCTGGTGGATAGGGGTGAGTCAGCAGGGGTTCACTTTGAGGAATCTATCTGGGAGGGAGGCGGGTGGGAGGTGGTGAGGATGATATTTCGCCAGGCCGACGTGCACTGTGTGGCGCCGAAACGATATGAGTCACGAGATATGTGCCTGGGGTTTCATGGCCACAGGAAATACGTGGCAGATTTAAGAAGGGTCAAGCTTTTCGGGGTGAGCTGTGCCATTCCCATGTGTTTGCACTCTTTGCCCCTGCTTCGAAAACCCATCCCCATGCATTGTCGCCCCACATGCCGCGTGTGATTGAATGAACCCTTTTCAGTACCTCTCTCCTTTCCTTGTCCCTCCTTTCATATCACCACTTCCGACCGTCAAATTCATGCGGTGGCCAAAACTTGCCCTTTTCCAGCCCTGGCAGCAGCCCACACATACCACATGCATTTAGAGCCGTCTCGTAACCCGTCGCTTTTTCCCTCCCCCCTTTCACATCACCACACCGACCATCAGATTCATGCGGTGGCGAAAACGTGGCCTCTTCCAGCTGCAGCAGCAGGCCTACCTGTCGTGTTGCTCTCCAATACAACCACCACCAGCAGCAGCACGGCCAGCAGCAGCAGCGCCACCACCACTGGGAACACCACCACCAGTACCATAACCAACTCAAGCACCACCAACATCAACAACACCACCAACACCACTTCAGGCAATCCCACCCCCCCCGCCTCTCCTCCCCCTCTTGCACGCATGCCCGGGGTGGACATGCACGTGAGGGACGTGCATCTGAACCACTACAGGGCGCTCAACACGAGAGCTATCCGTTCGTGCACGCAGTTCATACACGACACTGACTGGACCCCAGTGTCCTGGGCTAGAGATTTTTCTTTGTCCCATGCAGCCGTGGCTGTTAGGAAACGATGTCCCCCTCTGCCTCCTGCTTACATGTAACCACCATCAGCAGCACCACTGCATCTGAACCACTACAGGGCGCTCAACACGAGAGCTATCCGTTCGTGCACGCAGTTCATACACGACACTGACTGGACCCCAGTGTCCTGGGCTAGAGATTTTTCTTTGTCCCATGCAGCCGTGGCTGTTAGGAAACGATGTCCCCCTCTGCCTCCTGCTTACATGTAACCACCATCAGCAGCACCACTGCATCTGAACCACTACAGGGCGCTCAACACGAGAGCTATCCGTTTGTGCACGCAGTTCATACACGACACTGACTGGACCCCAGTGTCCTGGGCTAGAGATTTTTCTTTGTCCCATGCAGCCGTGGCTGTTAGGAAACGATGTCCCCCTCTGCCTCCTGCTTACATGTAACCACCATCAGCAGCACCACTGCATCTGAACCACTACAGGGCGCTCAACACGAGAGCTATCCGTTCGTGCACGCAGTTCATACACGACACTGACTGGACCCCAGTGTCCTGGGCTAGAGATTTTTCTTTGTCCCATGCAGCCGTGGCTGTTAGGAAACGATGTCCCCCTCTGCCTCCTGCTTACATGTAACCACCATCAGCAGCACCACTGCATCTGAACCACTACAGGGCGCTCAACACGAGAGCTATCCGTTCGTGCACGCAGTTCATACACGACACTGACTGGACCCCAGTGTCCTGGGCTAGAGATTTTTCTTTGTCCCATGCAGCCGTGGCTGTTAGGAAACGGTGTCCCCCCCTGCCTCCTGCATACATGTAGACAGAAGAGAAGACTGCGGTAATAGCCTTGACACTAGAGGGTCGTGCATGTGAGGGACGTGCATTTGAACCACTACAGGGCACTCAATAACTCAATACTGGGGCTATCCGTTCGTGCACCCAGTTTACCCACGACACTGACTGGACCCCCGTGTCGTGGGCTAGAGACTTCTCGCTTTCCCATGCTGCCGTGGCTGTAAGGAAACGGTGTCCCCCCACTGCCTCCTGCGTACATGTAGACAGAAGAGAAGACTGCGGTAATAGCCTTGACACTAGAGGGTCGTGCATGTGAGGGACGTGCATTTGAACCACTACAGGGCACTCAATAACTCAATACTGGGGCTATCCGTTCGTGCACCCAGTTTATCCACGACACTGACTGGACCCCCGTGTCGTGGGCTAGAGACTTCTCGCTTTCCCATGCTGCCGTGGCTGTAAGGAAACGGTGTCCCCCCCTGCCTCCTGCATACATGTAGACTGTAGACTGCAGTGATAGCCTTGACACTAGAGGGCCGTGAAGGACGTGCATCTGAATCATTACAGGGCGTTCAACACCAGAGCTATCCGTTCGTGCACCCAGTTCATATATGACACTGACTGGACTCCCGTCTCCTGGGCTAGAGACTTCTCCTTGTCTCATGCTGATGTGGCTGTGCGAAAAGCATCCCCCCCTCTGCCTCCTGTATACATGTAGCCACCACCACAAGCAGCATTATTACCCCCGTGTCGTGGACATGCACGTGAGGGACGTGCATCTGAATCACTACAGGGCGCTCATCACGAGAGCCATTTGCTCGTGTACCCAGTTCATACATGACACTGACTAGACCCCGTGTCGTGGGCTAGAGACTTCTCGCTTTCCCACGCTGCTGTGGCTGTGTGAAAATCCTCCCCTCCCTTACCTCCCGTGTACATGTAATCACCACCACCAGCAGCACCAGCAGCAGCACCACCACCCCCATCCGCTGGGGGGAGCATATTGCACCGAGTTCATGCACAACACTGTCTGGACTCCCCTGTTGTGGGCCCGAGACTTTCTCGATTTCCCATTAAGGAAACGATCCCTTCTCTGCATACTGTGTGTGTACATCCGACTGCAGTAATATCCTCTGCAGCCGGTACCCCCTCCGTCTCACTCAACACTACGGAGACGTGCAGCTGAGCTGAACCACCACAGACGTTCTGTATGAAATATTACCGGTAGCCTGTAATTTTTGTTGTACAGTTCTAGCTTGGCTGTGCGTCAATTTGAAGGCGGATGTCTTGTTGGAGGTAGGTACGGAAGTTCCATTTGTACACGCGCATTAGGGGGCGTTGTTTCCTACAATTATTGCACATTTTGAAGTTACGACAGCTTTGGAGCACTCATTTTGAGAAGCCAATTTGTGTGGGTTTATGCAGCACTTTGATAGGAAATTTGGTTAAATTAGAGTATTCTCCTAGATAAGATATATAATTTACCATCTTCCCGTTTATAGGGTATTCTAACCAAAACGGCCAATGAGATCCATCCACTTTGTTCCTAGAGTCAAGACCCGCTATGTAGGGGACGTGAGCCACTGTTTGGAATACATCTTCAGCCGGCTTTTTACCTAAAGCATGCAGATTCTGCTAGTGCAGCTTTGCGAATGCATGCAATAGACGGTTAGGGGAAAAATGTCGGCTTGCCGTAAAAAACATGTGGTTACCCGTGTTTAGGGTTGCGGATCCCTCAATCGCATGCCATCCAGATGGGGTTAAGTTTTTTCTGACCGCGGGCAGATAACATTCCGTCAGCCTCTTTCCCCTACGGCCGTCTATTGTATGCATCTGCATAATCGTGGTGGCATAAGTTGAATGCCGTTAAAAATGGCCCCATCTTCAGCGATGCAATGCAACTAGTGCTCAACCCAAGCCAGCACGGCACGCATGAGCTTCGCCGCAGTGCCCTCCCTCAGTGAGGCATAGGGACTTCCGGCCGTTAGCATTCGGATTTGGCTCCATATAATTACCCGTTTGCGGCCGGAATCAAGTCGAGATTATTCGGTGTACAACATATTCGCCTAAGTAACACTCTGTAGACGCGACTAGATTAATGTACGGCGAGAATGGTGTCCCGAACCGTGTGATTGTAGTAAGGAGGGGGGAAACTGACAGCACGGTAATCGTCAGCCAAGAGGGGAGTGCGCCTGGAGAGATTCGCGGTGTTATTGGGGTCGTCCGGATGATATCATGAACTACCCACATGACACCATGGACATGGCCGAAATGTCGTCGCCTTTTCAGGCACATCGAAAATTGCCTCATCACACAAGTCACACTCACAAGACAGGTTACGTTCGTGACCTTGCCAAAACGAGTCGTTCACGCGGCCGCGGCCCGCGTCCCCGCAAACCATCGATTGACGGGAGAGCACCACTCTCCACTATCGTTCTGCTCACAGTCTCCGCTCTCTCGGAGTCGCCGCGCTCTCTCCCTCCTCTCCTCTCCACCCGCCAGAACTCACCAATCTGAGGCTCAATGACGGGGTGTAATTCGTACGTCTCGTGTACGTTCTTTGCGGTCTAATTCGTTGCGTCATGGTGCAAAACCGTGAAGCTCAGCCACGAATGATGACCTGTAAACGTACCACCTGCCCACAGCCGCTACGCTTGTACTCCTTTTATGAGGCGACTTTTGAGTCGACTCAAACGTCTCCTCTCCTCGCATAACACACCCGGGAGGATCAATTAGCGAGCACGTTTGCTCTGGACGGCAAAGCCTCCGCCATTCACGTTTCCGTGTCGTTCCAGCAAGTTATTGATTGTCTCGCTGCTGTGCGTTGTGACGCTCTAGCGGTACTGCTACCAGCAGCACCCGTGCTCCTGTTTTTGAGGCTCCTTAACGACGTTCTAGTGCTACTCCTAGTGGTAGTTGCTGCTGCTGCTGCTGCTGCTGGAGCTGCTGTTTCCATGGCAAGCTCAGCCTGGCGCGCCCTCGTACCACCGGCGCTGACGCGAGGCGTGGCTCTTCCCGCGTGGCTCAAGCGGCGCGTGACCTTCTACCGGCTGCACATGCTGTGCTTCGTTATAGTCATCCTCGCTTTCACGCTCGTCTTCTGCGTGGCGCCGAGCGGGCCAGCAGGGAAAATCAGCTTCATAGACGCGCTCTTCAATGTGACGTCGTGTGTGTGCCTGGCGGGACTTATCACCGTTGACGTGGGGGTCTTCACTGACGGCACCAACGTCGCTCGCCTCCTCCTCATGTTCATGGGTTCCCAGGTGCGTGATTAGAAATTACATACTGGTATTCACATGCTGAATGCAACCCTCATTGGTTCATCCTTTTTTATCAGGCCCCACGCCATGCCACGCCATGCCATGTTGACAGGTGCTGACAGCCCTGGTGCCTGCCCTGCTGCGCCACATTGGAGTCATTGCTTACAATTATAAAAATTGAGTTTAAAAATGACTCCCATCTCTCTCTCTCTCTGTGCCAAGTGGTGACGTCCCTGGTGCCTGTCTTGGTGCTGCGGTACTACTTCCACCGCCATCTCGCCCGCGCTGGCCTGCTCCAAAGCCAGATTTGAGACGTCTCAATGCTTGAATCCCATCTCTTTCCGTGTGGCATGCCAGGTGGTGACGTCCCTGGTGCCGGTCTTGGTGCGCCGCTACTACTTCCACCGCCATCTCGCCCGCGCTGGCCTGCTCCAAAGCCAGCTTTTGAGACGTCTCAATGCTTGACTCCCATCTCTTTCCGTGTGGCATGCCAGGTGGTGACGTCCCTGGTGCCGGTCTTGGTGCGCCGCTACTACTTCCACCGCCATCTCGCCCGCGCTGGCCTGCTCCAAAGCCAGCTTTTGAGACGTCTCAATGCTTGACTCCCATCTCTTTCCGTGTGGCATGCCAGGTGGTGACGTCCCTGGTGCCGGTCTTGGTGCGCCGCTACTACTTCCACCGCCATCTCGCCCGCGCTGGCCTGCTCCAAAGCCAGCTTTTGAGACGTCTCAATGCTTGACTCCCATCTCTTTCCGTGTGGCATGCCAGGTGGTGACGTCCCTGGTGCCGGTCTTGGTGCGCCGCTACTACTTCCACCGCCATCTCGCCCGCGCTGGCCTGCTCCAAAGCCAGCTTTTGAGACGTCTCAATGCTTGACTCCCATCTCTTTCCGTGTGGCATGCCAGGTGGTGACGTCCCTGGTGCCGGTCTTGGTGCGCCGCTACTACTTCCACCGCCATCTCGCCCGCGCTGGCCTGCTCCAAAGCCAGCTTTTGAGACGTCTCAATGCTTGACTCCCATCTCTTTCCGTGTGGCATGCCAGGTGGTGACGTCCCTGGTGCCGGTCTTGGTGCGCCGCTACTACTTCCACCGCCATCTCGCCCGCGCTGGCCTGCTCCAAAGCCAGCTTTTGAGACGTCTCAATGCTTGACTCCCATCTCTTTCCGTGTGGCATGCCAGGTGGTGACGTCCCTGGTGCCGGTCTTGGTGCGCCGCTACTACTTCCACCGCCATCTCGCCCGCGCTGGCCTGCTCCAAACCCATCCCTCCGCCTCCAACTACGCTAGGTTGGAATATACGCGTCTAGCGTATATAAGCGTTTCGTATATACGCTAGCGTTTGCACGCTATACGCTGGAGGGGTCTGATCGAGGATACGCTTTTTTGGGCAGGTAAAAAACTTTCCCGGGCAGGGTAAAAAACGCAGTCCTCGACATCGGGGAGGTATTCCCTGTTCTCACTAAGACTTTCGTAGGATTTTACTAAGTCTGAACGGCGATTGGGGCGGGATGTGGAGTAGACACTATCGCTAGTAGGAATCGGAAGGATCGCAAGCGGGAATGTAAACTGAAGATCCCAGCGGAATTCGGTCGACGGAGCCGAATTGCCAGGGTCGACGAGGGGGGTCGACAGACGGGGGTCTGACGAGGCGGGGAACTGACGCGCGTGCGGGCCCGCCAGCCTGGCCCAGGGCTGGGCCGAGCGCACGACCGCCGCCCCGCAACCCCCCCCCCCCAATGTGAACAGCGACCCACGTTACCGGGTGGGGTCGGCGAACTGGCGACAGCTCGCGCGTGGGAAAATTACCCTCGCGCGAAGGCAGCCCAGCCGTGCCACCTGCCCGCGAGGTCCTAGTAACCCATCGCGGCCTGCCCGGACGGGCAGGCGAGGGCCTGGCGAAAATTCGGGGGCCCCTCGGGACACTCGACAATTTCGCGACCCGTTGCGGTGACGCCACGTGTTCGCTCGTGGTTTCGCATCGGGCGCATGCCATATTTCGGACGTCGCGAAATCGATGTCGATCGCTTCGCGGCGCATGCTTTTCGCGACCCGCTGCGAAATCGACACGTGGCGGTCTAAACGATGCACCGCGAGCATGCGAATTTGCGTCCCTTGGCCGACCGAGGCCAGGGGACGTGACATCGACTTGCTGGCTCGGCGGCGAATGAGAACCTGTGCCACTTGTGCACGAGCCCGCCATACCCTGCCGAGCCAGGCCCCACGAGGGTCGGGCGATGCCTCGGCCGGCCTGTGGGGCACCGACCCCCTTTTTCTTGGTGGAAGGGGGCATCGCTCCTCATTTTCGCTTTCTCCTCTCACTTTCCACCGTTTTTTCCCAGCTCTGCGCCTTCTCCCACATTCACGTCCCTTAGCCGGTAGCCGCATCCCTTCCCCGCCATGGCGGCCGACCCGAAAGTCGGCGAAGTGACGCCGACTTCGCAGGACTTCCCGCTGTATCTCGACCTGGGTAGAGGGCTCACTTCCAAGTTCGACGAGCACGACTACGCCGTCCTCGTAGACAATAGGCTCGAGTTCAACGCCCGTTGCTTGGGATTCGGCCTCAAGTGAGTCGCCGTACATTTAGGTCGGCGTCGATCTATGCTGTCCTAGCTGGTCGACGCTGCGGTTGTCCCACATCTATGGCGGCGCCACGAGGTTAGGGTTTAGTTCACCGTGGCGCCGACTTTACGATTACTGAGATTACGTGTAACACCTATTTCACCGATGGGTCGGTGTTGTTCACAGGGTTTCACCCCTCATGCCTTCTAATACCCATGTCGGCTTGCAGGCACGCATGGGCTCGCTCGTCGAAGATGCGATTGTGGTCGATAGGACTCGGTCGGCTTCGGGCGGCGATGGGTCAGAAGGACCACACGTGCTTTGCGACGGTTTTCGACGCCGACGTAGCGATCATCCCCCTGCATTCCAGGTGCGATGGTCGACGACGTACAGTTGTGCCATGCATGCTATGTCGTGCTGAACGACGCCGTCGTGCGTTGCCTGTGCAGCATCGCACCGCTTCCAGGAGCACAATGCAGTGTTATCGTCGTCATTTATCCCGGCGACTTGTTGAGGGCGGAGGGGGAGAAGATCAGGACGTCTATCCGCCACCTGGACCCGCAGACCGTGAAGCAGTGGCACCGCGACGAGGCAATCCGCGTGCTGAAGTGAGCTCGATAGCCTAGTCGTCGATGCATGCCATTTCTCCGCGCAGCTTAAACCATACTTACCGACCATCTCCGGCATTGTTGTTTCAGGTTTTTCCGGGCGGCGGTACTGGCCGAGCTGGGCCGCGACGGTAGGACGTGGGAGTGGCCGAAGCCCTCCGATCAAGAGGTCGGGCACAGGCTCGCCGACTGCGACGAACCCCTTCGAGATGTGAGTTCCGAACGAGTCAACGTCCTATTGTGTGTCATCCAAGCTCGATGCTCATCCTTGCGCTCTGAACCGTTGAATGCAGAAAGTGCTCGACGTCGTCCAGGACGGGAGCCCGGGCTCCGGCACGCTAGCAATGAGCGGGTTGATCTGGGTGGTGAGGAGGATGGATCTCCTGACCGGCAAGTACCGTCGCAGTGCTACCATCATGGACAAGGTCAACGTTTCGGGGTTGAAGGCGCTGCGGGGTGCGATGGTAACATTCATCAAGGAGCACGTCGCTCTGAAACGGTCGGGCCGTGTCGGACTTGCTCACGACGCCTGTGACGACGACGGCGAGGAGCCCCCTTCGGCATCCCAAGCAGTCGGTGTCGCCGACACCCGCGGAGAGGCCACAGGCGGCGTCGACGACGCAGATGGGGAGGCAGGACGGGCGGTGCCGCGGACCGGGGATCAGGAAGAGGAAGAGGAGGAGGAGGAGGAGGAGGAGGAGGAGGAGGAGGAGGAGGCGGAGGAGGAGGAGGAGGCGGAGGAGGAGGAGGCGTCCACCGATGATCGGGATGATAACGAGGAGGAGCGTGAGGAGCGTGAGCAGGGGCAGGAGGAGGACGAGGAGGAGGAGGAGGTGGAGGGGGTGGCGGAGGCCGTGCAGCAGGCGGTGGAGCAGGTGGTGGACGAGGAGAAGCAGCAAGAGGGGGACGCCGAGGTGGTGTTCCCCTGGGTCGACTTCGAGATGGCCGTGGAGGGAGCGGCGGCGATGGACGTGGAGGGAGCGGCGGCGATGGGCGTGGAGGGAGCGGCGGCGATGGCCGTGGAGGGAACTGGTAAGTGGTCGGCGGATGTTGTGTGCGAGGGAGTGGAGGGTGCCGATGTGGAGAGAGGAGACATGGTCGGCAATGTGGACGGGGACGCGACAGAGGAGGATAACGCCGCGGCCCCGATGCAGACGGGCGTGGAGCCCACCGCAGGGAACGCCGGGGTGGAACGCCGAGGTGGAGCGGTAGAGGCGGGCAGCCAACCCGGTTCCCCAGCAGCCGGTCGGCAGGCACCGCCGGCCGACGTCGCGCTGCTGCGACAGGAGAACATGTGGTTGAGGGCTGAAAATGCTCGACTGCAGACGGAGCTCGGAGTGGAGAGGGGTCGGGTGGACAGGTTTGCGATGGGGATAGGCAGCCTCGTGGACAAGCTCAGGTCGTTGGCTGACCAGGTCGCCGCCTCCGACAACGACGCGGCGAGTCGGCTGAGGGGCGCGTCCTTGACCATGGCGAAGACCGTCACCGAGAACATCACCGCCAGCATGGGTGAAGCATGGAATGCGATGAAGGCGTACGCCGAGAGGGCGGAGGCCTGGGTGGACGATCTCGACAATCCGGAGGGGTTTTTGGCAGTGGAACGTGCGAAGGCGGTACTCACGTTGGTCGACCAGGTGGAAAAAGTGGTGGGCGACGCGAGGAAGGGGTTGGAGGAACATATATCAAAGAACCTAGTCGCCGCGCAGATCAACATCGCCGCCGCGGTAACTCAACGCGTCGCCGTACCGTCGCCAACGCCGCCCGCCCCACCGCCAGCCTTCCCGGACGAGCTCATGAAGTCGTTCAAAGCGGACGTGTTGAAGGCGGTGACTGAGGCCACCCAGCAGTCGTTTGTTGCGTCCGGGTTAAACCTCATGACCGAGGTGATCGGCAATTTGGCGCCTGGTCGGCGTGGTTCGTCGCCGTCGGCCAACGAGGCCGACAAGAAGGGCGCGAAGAGGGCGGGCGGCGGAGATGATGCGTTGAGCTCGAAGCGGAGCAAGGGAGCCGATGGGAGCCGCGGCGTCGGCCAGGTGGGTCCTGGCGGCACTGGGAGCAAGGGAGCCGATGGGAGCGGGGGTACTAGCATGGTCGACCAGCTCAAGAAGAACGGGGCCAGGGTGATAAGGACGCACAGCAAGGGTGATGGAATCAGGAGTGCGGAGGGGGGCCCTGCCGACCAGGTTGCCGCTCAAGAGGCTGGACCAACAGCTTCGCCATTGGTGGCCGAGAAGCCCCCCAGTCTAGCAACCGCACCAACGGCGATAGATGGCGGCGCCGAAACCGGGAAGGGGCCGTCTGGGGGGGTGACGGGGACCACGTCGATTCCCCGCAAACCCCCTGCGGCTAGCAGCGCGCCGGTCGCCCCGTCAGCCGCCAAGGACGATGGGCCGTCCCTTGCGGCTACTCCAGCACCAGCAGGCCCGTCTGCCGCCAAGGATGATGCGGCTAACCGCCCTGGTCCGTCCGCCCCAAAGGCGAACGCGCTCATGGAAATGCTCCGCCGCATGGAGACCCATCGCCCGGGCGTGCAGCCGACTCCCGTGGTCGGTGCCGCTCCGTCCAAACCGGAACGTCGCTCGGTCGCTCCGCAGGTCGGCGCCACAACGTCCAGTGCCCCACCTACCGCGCCTGACATCGCCGGCCGTCCTCCTGTGGACCCCAAGTCCGCCCTGCTTCGCGCCCGGTTAGGCGCACGTACTGCGGCAGCGCCAGCACGGGCTCGGACAGAAGCCGGCTCAAGCGCGACGCCGACGTCGGTAACCGTAGCTGCACCCTCACTCGGTGCAGCTACTGTCGAGGAGGTGGCGGAGAAGGGCGTGAGTGCAGCGCTAGCCACGGGCGGTCGATCCGTCGACCCTGCACAGGCGGCGAAAGGCCAGCGCGACGCCGACATCGATGCCATCAAGGACCTGTTGGAAGCGGTAAACCGCCCCGGGCAGCCCCCTGTTCTGGCCATCTCGGACTCGGCGCATGTGGAGCACTCGGCGAGTCCCCCCGGTAGAACAGCGGAGCTAAAGACGACCACTGCAGCTGTGGTGGTCACCAAGTCGAAACAGAAGGGAACGGCCGACACAGGGAAAGGGAGGCCGAGCTCGCAGAGGACAACACGGGGGAAGTCGGTGGAGAAAGGGAAGGAGAAGGAGAAGGAGAAGGAGAAGGAGAAGGAGAAGGAGAAGGAGAAGGCGGAGGCGAAGGAGGAGGAGAAGGCGAAGGAGGAGGAGAAGGCGAAGGAGAAGGAGAAGGCGAAGGAGAAGGAGAAGGCGAAGGAGGAGGAGAAGGCGAAGGAGGAGGAGGAGGAGGAGGAGGATGAGGAGGAGGAGGAAGAGGAGGTGGAAGAGGCGGCGGAGGAGGAGGGCGAGCATGATGCTAAGGAGGAGGAGAAGGTGAAGGTGAAGGTGAAGGAGAAGGGACGGAAGGGTCATGGCATCCGCCACGACAACTCGGGCGACAAGCAAGGGTGGGTGGGCGAGATTAAGGTGGCCGGGAACGAGAGTAGATACATCGGCAAGTCGCGCGACAAGATGGAGCTGGCGTACCTCCACTCGATTGTGTACCTCCTTTACGACGGTTACGTCAGCAAGATTCTCATGGACGAGCTCACCAGCTTGACAGAAACCACGAAGAAGCAGTGGAGGGCGGTGTGGGAGGAGGTCAGGATCTTGCCGACCGGGATGTGGACGGTGATATGGGCAAGGGGCGCTTTCCTCCCAAAGACCCGGTAAGTCGGATACCACTTCCGTCAAGTGATGATGTCGACATCGGGGTCCCTAATGATCGTCCAGTTTCGTGTGTTCGCGTAACAGGTTCGATGACATTCTCGGCAAGTATCAAGCGTACAAGACATCAGGCGATGAGCACCACGCCGCACTCTTGCCGGCGATCTGGTTCCCGGTCGATGCCGACTCGAAGGAAGGGAAGGCGAAGTCGGATGCAATGATGTCGGCCATGATTGATCGCGTGTCCTTGTGCGCTGCGTATGGGAAAGTCGCTGCTGCCGCGGCGAGGAAGGAGGGCGAAACGGATGAGACGACGGCGTTGGTGGCACAGGCGCTATCGGCCTCCGCTTGCGCCCTGTGGTGCTTAGTCGAGGGCGACGCCGCCCAGGTGGCCGATGCTGTGCGCGAAGGGAAGGCGGCGGCGATGGTGGTCGGTGCGAGCGGGAAGACCGGTGATGAGTTCATGAAGGTCATGACGGCGGTGCTGGAGGCCGCGAAGAGCAGGGAGCAACCCCTCGGGGAGGTTGCGTACAACGTCGCAACGGTGCTGGAGTCTGCAGCTCTGGCGAGAGCCTATCCGGGGTTGGATGGAGAAGTCGAAGCCCAAGTGATCGCACGAGCGACGGTGGAAACCATGGCGTTCTAGGGAATGTGCCCCAAGGATGGGCCGAAACTCAAGAAGATCGGCATCGCGGTGCCGCTTGACGCGCAGATGGCGAAGCTTATCGAACACAGGGGGAGGAAGGGCCAGAGGGGCAAGCAGGGCAAGGACAGCTCGGGGAAGAAGGGCCAGAAGGGGAAGCAGGGCAAAGACAGCACGGCGGCTTAGTCGGCATTGCATTCTGGTCGCCTGGGGTGGCCTGGTATGGGCGGCGTCGATCATGGAGTTCTTGTTGTGATTGCTCTTCGTAGGTGATTGCGTGATGTGTGGCTGTAACTTTTTTGTAGTGCATGTTTTGTGGCTGTAACTTTTTGGTAGTGCATGTTTAGTGGCTGTAACTTTTTTGGTAGTGCATGTTACTAGAACACCCCTACTAAGACACTGCGCTGAACCTCGTCGGCGTATGATACGTCGGCGTCGTATGGTGTCGACCTTGTGCGTCTGTCTGTATGCATGTAGATACTCGGCGATATCCTCGTCGGCGCTTTGGGTATTGTGCCCCGTTTGTAGGTCGGCATCGATATCGTTTTGTGTGTTTCGGCTGTCGGAGCCCTTACATGCTCTTTGTGTGGGTTTCATTGTGTGCGTGCCTGTCGACTTTACGAAGGGTGTGTAATGAACAGTTCAAACATTACCTTGTTGACTATGCGTTGGATGTGATGTCTACTTCAAGTAGAACGATAGGATCATTGTGAGAACCACAAAGTCGACAACTGTATCAGTACGACACACATGCATGCTGCAACAAGAACATCTACAACATGCAACAGCCAACAGTCGCACGTTGCTTGTGAGCATTCACGCGGTCTTCTTGCGCTTGGTCGACTTCGTGGTCGGAGGCCGTTGGCCGGCGTCGTTTTCGCGGGCCAGGTCGGCCAACGCCTTCTTCATCTGCTCCTTCCATGTGTCCGGGAACAGGTCGGCGACCCACGTTTCCGGCTTCAACCCGCGCGCCACGAGCGCACAGGCGAGACGAAGCTTGGCAAATTCCGTCTTGCCGAGCCCCTTGACGCCCTTACCCTGCCCGGCATAGGTCGGTTTGTTGCCCGCGTTGAGCACCGTGAGGGCATCCGAGAAGGTCCCGATGCCCGGCGCCGCTATCGTGTTAAGCGCGTCGACGACGGCTTCCGTGTCGGCTTCGCCGTCGCTCCTGCGAAGCTGGCGCACGGCATCGATGACCTTCATCATGCGGCGCACCCTCGTCCCGTGTGCTCCCTGCGAGGCTCCGTCGAGGAGGGTGTGGCGGTCGACGAATCCCGGCTCGAAGAACCTGTCGCACAGACGACGGGTGTCGGCGCTGGTGCACGAGGTCCAGAGGCGCCACGCGTCCCTCACGGTCGTTGCATTCCGCCAAGGCTGAACCACGTTCAGCTCGTAGCTAGCCTCCTCGACCGTCTGTGGGGGTTTTTTGGGTTTCTTGGCTCCGTCACCCCTGCTTGCCGACTCCGCGGAGCCACCGTCGCTAGGCGACTGATCGTTCGCAGCTGGCGGCGCCTCCGGCATCCTACGAGCTTCTGAAACGCGGAGAGCCTCGGTGAGGCGGGTTATCTCGTCCGTCATCGACGCGATGGTAGCGTCGCGCTGCTCGAGCTTCTCCTCGAGGTCGATCTTCTCGACCGCTGACCGCTCCCTCTCGAGCTTCAGCGTCGTTGTGAGGGAGACGACCGCGTCCTGGGCGTCGTGGCGGACCGATATCTCCTGCATCGGTAGGCGAATAACGGTGCAGGTGAGGGGTTGTATCGGGCACTGTGCTCATGGCGACGTCGACATAAAGGAATACCCACCTCTGGCTGGATGAGGGTTGGGTCTTGCCGCTTTTTGATGGTCTCGGTGTCGGTCTTCTCCACCCTCTTCGCCCAGTGCTGGAAGAGGGGAATCCGGCAGAGCTTGGAATACTGGACGTACGGGTGCCAAGGCGTGCGGACGAGTTTCACAGCGAGGTCCTCGGCGACAATGCGGCGGAACATCAGGAGGGTGCGCCAGAAGTGCACGGCCGCAATGTCGGCGTCGGACCCCTTCTTCGCGAGTTCTTCCGCCTGCAAGCAGACAATAGACGTGGGTAATTAACGTGGTGGATAGGACAGTGCCATGAGAGGCTTGGTCGGCACCGATTAACATACATCCTTAAGGAGGTCGTCCACGCCGGGGAAGATGTGCTCGGCGATGAGTGCGAGGAGTTCGTCCCCCGGTTCCACCCTGCTGCGTCCCAAGAAGTAGTCCTGCGTGTATCCCGAGTAGCCGGCCTTCTTCATCACCACGCCGACGGGAATGGCTGTGATGTAGGCTCGAGTCATCTTGTCGAGAGCCCAGTGACCCAGCTCGGCTATCTCGGCGCGAGGCGTACCGTTGATGGCCAGCTCCTGCGCCCCGCCTGCCCGAGCGGCATGGACGTTCCGCTTGCAGAACACCCCGTTCGTCTTCCACATCTGCCTCGTCCATCGCTGGTGGCTGGCAGCGGAGAGTTCGCCCTGCTCGGGGTCGTTGCGGGCGAAGAACAGGTGCTTCTTGTACCAGCGCTCGCGTGTGCTGGTGTCGACCGGCGGAATGAGGTCGACGCCGTGAAACTGGCCGATCTGGTCGAGGATGAAGTGTAGCCACAGTCCGGTCTCGCCGACGGCGCACAATTCCGCTTCGAGGTGCCGCGCGGCGTAGCTCTGCTGCAGACGCGCATCCTTCGACGTCTTCGAGTTCCGCGCGGCGACCACCATGACGACCGGCTGGTTATCCGGGTTCACCGACGAGGTGCTCGCCAGTCGGTACAAGAAGATGTCGGGGAGCGTGATCTCGCGGATGCTTGCACCGCGCATGAGGCTGTGGTGGGAGAGCAGCGTGAGCACCTTGACGAGAAGAAACCTCCACAGCGTCTGCGAAGGAGTGGTGAAATGCGGGCTCCATGCCGACGCCGCCCAAGCCGGCAGCACCCTCGTCATGATCTGGCGGAACTGTTCGGCGGTGTATGTGTCGCCGATGGTGCCGCGTCGACGGTCGGCGCAATTACTGTCGACATAACAATATAGGCGGTAGGATTATTAGGGCGATGGGCACAAATCGACACCGACTTACTAGGAAACGGCGCTAAATGCCAACTTACTTGATGTCCCTCTGGTTTTTGGTGCGGACCATGACCCGCACCTCCGACCGGACAACCGAGATTTCCCGCATGATGCCCAACTCCTTCTCCTTGTAGAGCATCGCCTCCACCATCGCAGCCATCTGGCATGCCTTGATGCGGCCGAGGATCATGTGCACCGTGTAGGACGGCACCGGCGCGTTCGTCTCGGCGTCGATCTTGAACTCCCGCCTCATGAACTTGACGTAGGCGCGCAGCCGCGTCACAGTGACCTTGGGGCCGTGCAGCCAGATGTGCTTCCGTTTAACGACGTTCGGGTTGTCCCAATCCTTGCTCTTGTTGCAGTGGATCCAGTGCCCGATCTCGTCGACGTGCCTCGTTCGTTCCTCGCCCGGCAGCTTGTCGCCTATCTCTTTGAGCATCTTCGCCTCCCACCTCTTGTAGTGGTAGATCCATGAGATGTAGGACTGGAGCGTGCTCTTAGCCTCGATGGTTTTCAGGTGGCGCAATGCATCCATCACGAGCACGTCGATGCACGCGTACACCATGTCTTCCTCTACGAAGTCGGCCGCCTTCCACTGTTCTCGAGGGACAGAGGTGTTCAGCAGATCCTCAAGCTCGTCTTCGTCCAGAAGTTCCTCTATGAACGCACGTTCCCCTCTGAGTTTTTCATCCAACGTGCGCGGACCTGTGCCACGTCGGGGTCGCGGGTCGTCTTCGTCGTCCTCGTCGCTGGACGATGAATCGTCTTCGATTCCCTCATCCTGCTCGCCCGATCCGTCCGGCACCGACGACGGCCCGGCCTCCGCTGCATTCGTCGGTGCCGACGTGTCTTTGCGTGGTTTCGTGAACTCCCCTATGGGCGCGGGCGGAATGTCTTTGGTGAACTCTCCCTTCGGGATTTGGGCCAGGGCGTCGAGATCGTAAAGCAGGGGCAGCGTCGACGAGGGGTTACTGGTCGGTGCACGGTCTACCGGGCGGACATCCTCACCCTGGCTAGCGGGAGTCGGAACGTCCGTCATGTCGACGTCGGCGTGTGGTGGGTGTGATTGCGGCGGTGTCGATCGAGGATGTGCTCCGGCCATGATACCGCGACCTAGGGTCTCGCGATGGGAAGTCGGTGTGGTGAGGTCGATGAACTACAACATGCAGTCTCTAAGTCGGCGGTATCAGAGAGGTCGGCATCGCAGACAACACTACGAGACGGCGGCCCCGACGTCTGACTATTCTGACGACGCCGACGTTCCACGTCTGCCGAAGATCTGCCGAACAAAAAAACTAGCGAGCCGTGAAGGGAACGGGGGAAACAATCTAAGTGCCAGCTAACGGATGAAACGCACACAGAATGGCAGGCAGAATGAGCGACCTTCACTGGGACCCCAGATTGGTATGGTCGTGAGCGACTCCGCTCCACTTGGCGCTCCACGCAAACCCCTGTGCAGGACGCAGCTATGCAGGTACTCTCGTGCGGCGGCGCCGTGACCGACGTGCCTCCTGGCGTGCATGGCTGCTTGCTTGAAGCGCTTCGCTCATGATGCGCCTTTCATGGGTGTTACACGCTGGCTCTTTCGTGCGGTACGTGGCGTGGTCCCTGCGCGGTAGTTCGAGGGCGGGAGACACTGCCGCGTGGCACAACGATGAAGACCTTTGGGTCGACGCCGACATTCCCGCCAGTATCCACTGCACCTAGCCAGAGGTAGTGGACGGTCGGATTTCGCCTTGGGCATGTGGGCAACCGTTGGATGATGGCCGTGTGGTACGCACCGACCTTGCCACGCTTGGGCGCGAAGTTTTCCCACGCGAAGCACCCCCACCTTCCGTTGGCCCGTCGTGGCCACCCTGGCAGTCCATGATGGCCCCGCCATTCAGGGGTCGATCTCGGACGTCCCTTTTTGGCCGCGTGGCGATCATCGCGGCCCGATGTGCCGAGCTGGGATGACGTCACGCGGCTGAGACGACCTTCTCGGGATTGTCTCAGCGGAACCCAAGGTCGACAGGTCGTCGACAATCCCGAGGGGTCACCAGCACTGGGCCCAGCCAGCTCGCCTGGGCTTTCCACGCGGTGGTCGTCGTGGGGTCGACAACCCCGAGGAGGGGGGTTGTCCGTTCTGGCCCGCGAAAATGGGCGGCATTTTTCGTCCGCTGAGCTCTATTATGCTAGAATGACCAGTGGAGTTTTGCTGCATGGTAAATACACCTGGGCTCCGGTAATTTCAGAATGTGGGCACCGAGCCGCGTCCTTGTCGTTTTGCCCTGGGGTTGAAATTGGGGGGAACAAAAAAGTTCCCTCTAATTTCAACACGTGAGTGGGGTTTGTTGGGGGACATTTTTGAGAGGTTGGAGTTCGTAGATGAGATGGGTTTCAATGCGGTACTAAACGAATGTTCAATTTTGAACTCCTGCAATCTTCAAAGGCACATTCCCGCTTCGCTATACCATCGAATTGCATTCCGACTTCGGCGGAATGCTCAGCAGGAGATTCCGCGTCTTTCTGTATACACACGATTTTTTTTCCGGGCAGCCCCTAAAACATTCTGACTGCGTATAGCGTATTAGCTAGCGTATCGCGTTTTGCGTATACACGCTAGCGTATGAACGCTGTACGCTTTAGGGTCTGAGCGTATATTCCAACTTAGCAACTACGGCCCCAAAGCCTCTGACACTGCAGCCTCCGCCTCTCAGGCAGCGCCGCATGGTGCAGGGGGGGAAGGAGGAGGAGGAGGAGGAGGAGGAGAAGGAGGAGGAGGAGGAGGAAACATAGCAGGGAACAACGGAGCCTGGTCTGCAGGTCTGCCCCCTGCAGCTCCAGCTGGTGCGAGTCCCAAGAGCGTCTGCAGCAGTGGCAAGGGCAGCAGGAGCAGCAAGGGCAGCAGTGACAGTGGCAGCAGCAAAGGAAGGCAGGGAGGCAGTGGAGGAGGTGGGTTGAGAGTGCTGGGGCAGCTGCAGGGAAGCAGAGTGCATGCTGGGGCGGAGGGGGGAGGAAATGGAGGTGCAGACATTGAAACAGGCCCGGAGGGTCCTATTGCCATTGACCCCACTGCATACCCTCCTGCTGCTGCTGCCACTACTCCTGCACCTCTTGTCTCTTCCTCGCCCGCCCCCTCCCATGAAATAGCTGTTGCCGCTGCAGGCGAGTGCCACGTGGCGTCTGTAGCTGCAGCTTCTGATGCAGCAGCAGCAGCAGCAGCGGCAGCATCAGCAGCAGCACCAAATGCAGCCACAGCAACAGCAGCAGCACCAAATACAGCCACAGCAACAGCAGCAGCAGAGGCAACAACAGCAGCATCAGCACACGAAGCAGATTCGGCGGTGGCAGCAGCAGCAGCGCCTGTGGGCCGAAGGCCCTTAGGCCTGACAACTGTGCTGGAGAAACTCCTGGAGGAGGCAAGAGAAGGGCGGCAGCCCTTGACTCCAGGTGCTGGTGGGGGCGAAGGGCTTGGCACCAGACGGGGGGCGGATGTGGAGGAGGGATGGGTGACACGCGGTGGGTTGCGGCGGCGGGGTGGAGGCAGAGGGGCGGAGGCAGAGGGGGGGGCTGTGGGGATGAGCTCGATGACTTGGGCCGGGGAAACGGCTAGGAGTGAAGGGCAGCGCCTCCGGTTGGCGCTTGAGGCTCTTAGAGCACAGCAGCAGCAGCAGCCGCCACCGCAGGAGGAGGAGGAGGAAACAGCTACAAGGCGTTCCTCCCTTGACCTGTTCACCTCAAGGCTAACTCGTGCTGCATCTCTGAACCAATCCGCGTTAAGAGCACACTCCCTACCACACGCCCCCGCGCTCTTGCCATTCCTGGGGGACCTAGAGCACAGGGCAAGGCAGAGGAGGAGCGGGAGGTTGAGCCGTGAAAGCAGTGTGACAGGCACAAGCCTTGGGGGGGATCCGGATTTCGCTGATGCTGATGGTTACGGGTTTGCTGATGGTTATGCAGATGCAATGGTGGATGAATGGCTGACGGCAGCACAGCCAAGTGAACTCAGATTCCTCGAGCTCAGGTGAGCCCTCCCCCCCTCCTCGTGGCTCAGGTGAGCCCTCCCTCCCCTCCTCGTGGCTCAGGTGAGCCCTCCCTCCCCTCCTCGTGGCCCTCATAGCTCACTGGCCCTCCTCATAGCTCACTTGCCCGCTCCACTGTTCTGTCCTGCTGTTGTTGTCTGATGGACCTCTTTTGAAAATGTTCATTTTTTAAAAGAGTTCCTTGTGCGCTGCATGTGCCATGTGCCATGTGCGACAGGCCATGTGCAATTTGCAATGTGCCATGTGCCATCATGCCATGTGCCATGTGCCATGTGCCATGTGCCATGTGCCATGTGCCATGTGCCATGTGCCATGTGCCATGTGCCATGTGCCATGTGCCACATTCCATGCTATGTGCCACGTGCCATGCTATGTGCCACGTGCCATGCTATGTGCCACGTGCCATGCTATGTGCCACGTGCCATGCTATGTGCCACGTGCCATGCTATGTGCCACGTGCCATGCTATGTGCCACGTGCCATGCTATGTGCCACGTGCCATGCTATGTGCCACGTGCCATGCTATGTGCCACGTGCCATGCTATGTGCCACGTGCCATGCTATGTGCCACGTGCCATGCTATGTGCCACGTGCCATGCTATGTGCCACGTGCCATGCTATGTGCCACGTGCCATGCTATGTGCCACGTGCCATGCTATGTGCCACGTGCCATGCTATGTGCCACGTGCCATGCTATGTGCCACGTGCCATGCTATGTGCCACGTGCCATGCTATGTGCCACGTGCCATGCCATGTGCCACGTGCCATGTGCCACGTGCCATGCTATGTGCCCTCTCTCTGTGCCATCTGCTCCACAATGCCCCCCTTTCGATGTGGAACCTGCACTTGCACAATGCCCATGCATGCACATGCACTTGCACATGCACTTGCACATGTACTTGCTCATGCACATGCACATACGATTGCACATGCACATGCACATACGCTTGCACATGCACATGCTCATACGCTTGCACATCCCCATCCCCATCCCCATCCCCATCCCCATCCCCATCCCCATCCCCATCCCCATCCGCATCCGCATCCCATCCCCATCCGCATCCGCATCCCATCCCCATCCGCATCCGCATCCCATCCCCATCCCTATCCCCATCCCATCCCATCCCTATCCCCATCCCATCCCCATCCCCATCGCCATTCACAGGGCCTTGGAGACGTTAAGCTGGCTGGTGCCAGCATTCCTCGCCACATCGCTGCTCACGGCCTTCCTCCTGCTGCTGCTCATCGTCAGCATCTCCGCCCCCGCCAAGGCAAATCTGCAGGCCAACAGCATCAACAGCGTCTTCTTCTGTGCATTCCATGTCAGTCAGCTGCCCTTGTTGCCAGTCACCTGCCCTTCTTGCCAGTCAGCCGCCTTCCATGTCATTCAGTCGCATTCCATGTCAGTCAGCTGCATTCCATGTCAATCAGTCGCATTCCATGTCAGTCAGTCGCATTCCATGTCATTCAGTCGCATTCCATGTCAGGCAGTCGCATTCCATGTCATTCAGTCGCATTCCATGTCAGTCAGTCGCATTCCATGTCAATCAATCACATTCCATGTCAGTCAGTCGCATTCCATGTCAGTCAGTTTTTGAGGCGCCTAAAAAGCAGACGCCAAGGCATCTCTGCAGGCCAACAGCATCAACAGCGTCTTCTTCTCTGCCTTCCATGTCAGTCACCTGCCCTTCTTGCCACTCAGCCGCCTTCCATCCCAGGCAGACGTTTCCCCTGTCACTCACTCACCTTTCATGTCATCCCCCCTCCATCTACCCTCACTTGTCCCTCCCTCAGCCCCCATGCTTCCCCCCCCCCCCCCCCCCCCCCCCCCCCCACAGGCGATTTCAACGTTTTCCAACACACGGGCGGCACTGCTCAAAGATAACCTAATTTTTTGGCGCCTCAAAAATAGACCCCCCTCGGCCCCATGCTTCCCTCCTCCTTCCCGCACAGGCAATGTCGACGTTTTCCAACACAGGGGCAGCACTGCTGAACGATAACCTAATGGGGTTCGTGAGGGCCCCAGCCCTGATCATCGTCACGTCCGTGTTCATTCTCATTGGCAACACCATGTACCCGCCCACGCTTCGAGCCCTTCTGCTTCTGCTACGGCGCTTCTCACGAGGAGAGAAAAGGGTAAGGCCTGCACCGCACTGCACCCTCTTGAGTCGACTCAAAAGTCACCTCGTTACAATGGCACTAGAGAAAAGGGTAAGGCCTGCACCGCACTGCACCCTCTTGAATTTGATCACTCTAAGAGGGAGCGTCTGCACCGCACCACACCGGTCTCGAAGATGGCTAATGACTGCACCCTTACCCGTCTTTCCCTTCACATGGTTGCTGCTTTCGCACAAGGTTCCCCACCGCTCTCCAGTCACCTCTCTTCTTGTTCGTCTCTCCCTCCCTCCCTCTGTTGCACTCACACTTGGCAATCCTTTTTCTTCTTCTGCTGTCGCATCCTGCAGCATGATCCCACTTGATTGATTTCACTTTTGAGAGTTCTTAAAAGTAAATGTCAACTTGGCAATCCTTTTTCTTCTTCTACTGTACCATCCAGCAGCATGATCCTGATATTTGAGGCGCCTAAAAATTCTTCTACTGTACCATCCTGCAGGAGAGCGTGAGCATGATCCCTCAGAACTTCTACTCACGCTCTCCTGCATTTGCACACACACTGCATGCACCCCTTTTGAGGTGTTTTGAGACGTCTCAAAACACTTCTTCAAACACTGCGTGCACCCCTTTTGAGGTGTTTTGAGACGTCTCAAAACACTTCTTCAAACACTGCGTGCACCCCTTTTGAGGTGTTTTGAGACGTCTCAAAACACTTCTTCAAACACTGCGTGCACCCCTTTTGAGGTGTTTTGAGACGTCTCAAAACACTTCTTCAAACACTGCGTGCACCCCTTTTGAGGTGTTTTGAGACGTCTCAAAACACTTCTTCAAACACTGCGTGCACCCCTTTTGAGGTGTTTTGAGACGTCTCAAAACACTTCTTCAAACACTGCGTGCACCCCTTTTGAGGTGTTTTGAGACGTCTCAAAACACTTCTTCAAACACTGCGTGCACCCCTTTTGAGGTGTTTTGAGACGTCTCAAAACACTTCTTCAAACACTGCGTGCACCCCTTTTGAGGTGTTTTGAGACGTCTCAAAACACTTCTTCAAACACTGCGTGCACCCCTTTTGAGGTGTTTTGAGACGTCTCAAAACACTTCTTCAAACACTGCGTGCACCCCTTTTGAGGTGTTTTGAGACGTCTCAAAACACTTCTTCAAACACTGCGTGCACCCCTTTTGAGGTGTTTTGAGACGTCTCAAAACACTTCTTCAAACACTGCGTGCACCCCTTTTGAGGTGTTTTGAGACGTCTCAAAACACTTCTTCAAACACTGCGTGCACCCCTTTTGAGGTGTTTTGAGACGTCTCAAAACACTTCTTCAAACACTGCGTGCACCCCTTTTGAGGTGTTTTGAGACGTCTCAAAACACTTCTTCAAACACTGCGTGCACCCCTTTTGAGGTGTTTTGAGACGTCTCAAAACACTTCTTCAAACACTGCGTGCACCCCTTTTGAGGTGTTTTGAGACGTCTCAAAACACTTCTTCAAACACTGCGTGCACCCCTTTTGAGGTGTTTTGAGACGTCTCAAAACACTTCTTCAAACACTGCGTGCACCCCTTTTGAGGTGTTTTGAGACGTCTCAAAACACTTCTTCAAACACTGCGTGCACCCCTTTTGAGGTGTTTTGAGACGTCTCAAAACACTTCTTCAAACACTGCGTGCACCCCTTTTGAGGTGTTTTGAGACGTCTCAAAACACTTCTTCAAACACTGCGTGCACCCCTTTTGAGGTGTTTTGAGACGTCTCAAAACACTTCTTCAAACACTGCGTGCACCCCTTTTGAGGTGTTTTGAGACGTCTCAAAACACTTCTTCAAACACTGCGTGCACCCCTTTTGAGGTGTTTTGAGACGTCTCAAAACACTTCTTCAAACACTGCGTGCACCCCTTTTGAGGTGTTTTGAGACGTCTCAAAACACTTCTTCAAACACTGCGTGCACCCCTTTTGAGGTGTTTTGAGACGTCTCAAAACACTTCTTCAAACACTGCGTGCACCCCTTTTGAGGTGTTTTGAGACGTCTCAAAACACTTCTTCAAACACTGCGTGCACCCCTTTTGAGGTGTTTTGAGACGTCTCAAAACACTTCTTCAAACACTGCGTGCACCCCTTTTGAGGTGTTTTGAGACGTCTCAAAACACTTCTTCAAACACTGCGTGCACCCCTTTTGAGGTGTTTTGAGACGTCTCAAAACACTTCTTCAAACACTGCGTGCACCCCTTTTGAGGTGTTTTGAGACGTCTCAAAACACTTCTTCAAACACTGCGTGCACCCCTTTTGAGGTGTTTTGAGACGTCTCAAAACACTTCTTCAAACACTGCGTGCACCCCTTTTGAGGTGTTTTGAGACGTCTCAAAACACTTCTTCAAACACTGCGTGCACCCCTTTTGAGGTGTTTTGAGACGTCTCAAAACACTTCTTCAAACACTGCGTGCACCCCTTTTGAGGTGTTTTGAGACGTCTCAAAACACTTCTTCAAACACTGCGTGCACCCCTTTTGAGGTGTTTTGAGACGTCTCAAAACACTTCTTCAAACACTGCGTGCACCCCTTTTGAGGTGTTTTGAGACGTCTCAAAACACTTCTTCAAACACTGCGTGCACCCCTTTTGAGGTCGTCACACACTGCATGCACCCCTTTTGAGGTCACCTGAAAACACACTCTTACACCGCAGGGTTCCTATTTGAAAAAGCTATCTGCTACCCCCACACCTACGTCGTATACCCCTTCAGTTTGTTTCTCTGTCCTAAATAGCAAGAGTTGATGGAAATAAGGCCTCCGCAGCCCACCTGTTCTCTTTCGACAGCTCCCACACCTGCAGTGTACACCCCTTCAGTTTGTCCACACCTACCTACCTCCTCTTACAGGCGCACAAATGCCATTAGCACCTCTTCTGAGGTGCCTCAAAAGCAGACTCATTGCAGTCAGCGTTTCTTACATTGAGAAGTGCCTGCAACCCTCTCTCACTTTTTGCCCTGGCCGGCAGTTTGTCTACGCATACCTCTCTTTTTGCGCCCGCGCAAGTGCTACACGCACCTCTCTTGAGGTGCCTCAAAAGCAGACTCATTGAACTGGGTTCTTCTTATATCAACAAGTGATTTTCGCCCCCCTCACCTTGTGCCCCTCAGTTCGTCTACTCCTACCTTCTCGTGCACCCACGCAAGTGCTACACGCACCTCTTCCCACCGCGCTCCACCGTGATGCTCGTGCTAACAGTTCTTGCCTTCAATCTCACGGAGTTTGTCTTCTTCTGTGCCAATGACTGGACCTCGCCTGCTCTTGACGGCTTCGCCAGTGAGTTGCATGTGGGGTGTGTGTGTGTGTGTGTGTGTGTGTGTGTGTGTGTGTGTGTGTGTGTGCGCGCGTGCGTGCGTGCGTGCGTGCGTGCGTGCGTGTGCGTGTGCGTGTGCGTGTGCGTGTGTGTGTGTGTGTGTGTGTGTGTGTGTGCGCGCGCGCGTGCGCGTGGACCTCGCTTGCCATTGACGGCTTCGCCAGTGAGTTGCATGTGGACTGCGGGTACGCGAAAAAGACCAACAAACAAGGATTACGTACGTCTTTCTTGAGGATTTGTCTGGGAAGAGAGCACTTCTTCCTTTTGGTGGGGGCTTTGTCTGCCAAGAAAAATAAAAATAAAAATAAGGCCAACATACAATGTTACCCCACACTCCCCCCACCTCATGGTTGTGTGTGAGTGCATGCCAGGTGGGACCAAGGTACTGGCAGGATATTTCCAATCTGTGAGCACACGCAACGCGGGATTCAACATCATTGCCATCGCCCTCCTGCGCCCCCCCATGCTGCTGCTATACCTGGGCATGATGTGAGTGCATGGTGTGAGTGCATGGTATGTTGAGAAAGACGCACGGAGGACGTTGCGTCCTACGTCTGGACGCACGGACGCAGGACGCGCATCCAGACACAGGACGCACGGCGATTTTTTTTTTCGGGCTGCCTGGGAAAAAAAAAATCTCGATCGCGAAATTGACATTCGCGATTTCGACGCGAGAGTCGAAATCGCAAAATTTCGACCCCCCCTTGCCCAAATCGCCATTCTAAAACAGCCCCCCCAACATTTCAGAACATTTCGTGCAAATTTGAAATGCTTAAGGTGACGTGACTCACCTTAATCTTGAATTTTGGGGGGAAAATTTGTTGTTGGGGACAAATTTGCCTTGAAAGTGTGGAGCGTTTCCCCCCCCCCCCCCCCTCCCATGCCCTATAACATTTTTTTTGCATGTCCGGGGGGTTTTTTTTGCCCTGCCCGGGCTTGCGTCTTTTGGTGCGTCTTTCTCAACATAGGTGTGAGTGCAAGGGGCACGGTGTGAGATTGCATGGGACATCACCCGCCTTTTATATCCCAGTCTCCCTTCCAAACTCTGCTCAGGTGTATGGCCATTAACCCATTGCACAGAAGATTATCCTTACCAACTCTGGCTTCGCATGGAGCTTCTGTATTTTCTAAAGCACACCCAGCCCACATTCCATTCCATTCCATTCCAATCTCACAACCGCCCTCCCTTCCATCCTCACAACCGCCCGCCCTTCCATTCCATTCCCTGCTGCTCTCTCAAACGTGGGCAGGTACGTGGCAGTGTATCCTCTGTACCTGACAAGGCAGACGTCGAGGGAGCAGAGGGAGGTGTATGACGACGAAGACATTGGGGTGTTCTGGGAAGACCTGCAGGTGAGTTCACATTACATCCCTCTGATGTGAGTTCACATTACATCCCTCTGATGTGAGTTCACATTACATCCCTCTGATGTAACTGCCTCAGAGGGATGTAATGTGAACTCACATGTCATTACTCCCTCTGAAGAGTCATTTTTGAGAATTCTAGAAGATGACTCCAACACCATTGGGAGCAGAGGGAGGTGTATGATGATGAGGATATTGGAGTGTTCTGGGAAGACCTGCAGGCATGTTCTCGAGTGGCTTTAGAGTCGACCCAAAAATCGACTTATCACCCATGGCTTTTGAGTTGATCCAAAAGTCAAGGGAGCAGAGGGAGGTGTAAGATGATGAGGACATTGGGGCTTTTTGGGAAGATCTGCAGGGATGTTTACATTCCATCTATGAGGGTAGTATTGCATCACATGGCGCATCATATGGCACATCATGTGGCGCAGCACATGGCGCATCACTTGGCGTGACACAAGTCATGCAGGGGAGTGTGCTGACTGAATTATTGGCTCTGTAAATGGCTTATGTTTCAGATGGCCTCATGAATCACCTGCCCATGTGTCTCTCCCCTCGACAATCCATGCAGGGGGTTGTGCTGGATCATGGGATGTTGACCCTATAAACGGTTTTCTGATGCAGCTCACTTGTCTTCCCTCAACAATCAATGCATGGAGGGGGGGAGTGTTGGATTATGGGGTGTTCACCCGGGGCAGGGGGCTGCTTCTGCGGGATTTGATGTTGCTCTTCATAGCACTGCTGGTGATCTGCCTCATAGAGAGTTATGTGACGCTTCAAATGCAGCTCACTTGTCTTCCCTCAACAATCCATGCATGCAGGGGGGAGTGTTGGATCACGGGGTGTTCACCCAGGGCAGAGGGCTGCTCCTGCGAGATTCAGCGTTGCTCTTCATAGCACTGCTGGTGATCTGCCTCATAGAGAGCGCCAACATAACCAGCGACATCTCCAACTTCAACATTTTCAACATCGCCTTTGAGCTCATCAGGTGCTTTGTTCTAGGCGATTCAGCAGCTGACTTTTGAGTCAACTCAAAACGAGGTGACTTTTGACTGTTGAGGCGACTCAAAACGAGGTGACTTTTGACTTGACTGAAAAGTCCCAGCAACATGTCCAATTTCAACATCTTCAGCACCGCCTTCGAGCTCGTCATGTGCTTTATTCTAGGCACTCCATTAGGTGCTGATTCTATGCGCATTATCAGCTGTGTGTGCAGCAATATCGGCGATATCATGCTCATCTGTATGTGCACATCCATCCATGCATGCTGTGGTCAAACCTTTTGAGAAATTCTCAAAAGTGAAACCAGATCAGTCAGCGCCGATCAGCGCCAATCAGATCGCATGGTCTTTCAATTTCAAGCTTTCTTTGACGCGTCGCGTGGGGTGCGTGCGGCAAAATCTGTCTTGCTCATCAGGTGTTTTTCTGTTTTTAGGCGCCTCAAAGCCTGTCTCCTCAGGTGCTTTTCTTGAGGCCCCTCCATGTATCCTTGCATATGCTTGGGCTTGCAGTGGCCAATGGACATGCCAATAGAAACCTCTTCCATTTTTGACATGGCTTAGAAATAGCCGTTGTCTGCGCACTGCTGCTCTTCTTGTGAGCGATTTTTCGAGAATTTCTCAAAAATTGTTCATATGTTTGGGCTCACAGTGGACATGCCAATGGGAACCTTTTCCATTGTTCACATGGCTTAGCAATAATCTTTGCCTGCGCACAGCTGCTCTCTGGTGACTATGTCTGAAGATCTCCCAACATGCCCATCTTTGCATGTGTTCTCGCCTGGCAGTGGATACAGATGACTTTTGAGTCGACTCAAAAGTCAAAAGTCACCTTTTGAGTCGACTCAAAAGTCATCCTCGCATGTGTTCTTTTCTGGCAGAGGATACAGACAGCAATGCGGGCCTCCCAATGCTGACACGCCACTGGCAGTGGATACACCAATGTGGGCCCCCCAATGCTGACACGCCCCTGGCAGTGGGTACAGCAATGTGGGCCCCCCAATGCTGACACGCTCTACCTTTACCCTTGCACATGTCTTTCTCCTGCAGTGGATATGGCAACGTTGGCCTCTCCTTGGGCTACACCTGTCCGCCTGAAGCTGGTCCCGACTGTGTCTCTCCTCCGTATAGCTTCTCTGGTGCGCGATTTTTGTTTTTTCTTCTTCTATAAGCGTCCTAGAGTGGATCCTCTGCTGCTTCCGTTTCTATAATTTCCCATAGTCTCTTATTTGGTGTGCCCGTTTTTAGAACTTTCCCAAAATCGCTCCTCTGCTGCAACCTCGGATCCGCCAGGGTGCAAGGTTAAGAAGGCACCTGTCTGGTCAGCCTTTCTGTTAATTTCAGAGCACACGGCTGTCGTTGAGTTGAGTTTTGAGGCGCCTCAACAAGTTGTGTTTTGAGTTGAGTTTTGAGGCGCCTCAACAAGTTGTGTTTTGAGTTGAGTTTTGAGGCGCCTCAACAAGTTGTGTTTTGAGTTGAGTTTTGAGGCGCCTCAAAAAGTCGTGTTTTGAGTTGAGTTTTGAGGCGCCTCATAAAGTCGTGTTTTGAGTTGAGTTTTGAGGCGCCTAAAAAAGTTGTGTTTTGAGTTGAGTTTTGAGGCGCCTCAAAACTCAAGCCTTTCTGTTAATTCCAGAGCACACGCCTGCTTGTCGTTGCTTTTGGGAGGTGGCCAGTGGCAGGTGTGGGGATCATAGGGGAAATGAATCGTTGTACTGTTTAAATGATGAACAGTCATAGGGACGTGCTTGTGTTGCGTATCAGTGATTCAGCTAAATCCGATTTCTTAGTCAATTCAGAAGTTGTTTTTATAGCTTGAATCATGAGCATTGATAGAGAGATGCATGTGCTGCTGTTGGCACCGCTGCTGCTGCTGCCGCTGCCGCCGCTGCCGCTGATGCTGCTGCTGGGTCTTCTGCTTCTGAACCAAATAGTCTTTTTCTTCCTTCCCCGTATCCCACCTTTCAGGCGTGTGGAGTCCTTGGTCAAAGCTGGTACTCGTGCTGGTGATGCTGCTGGGGCGCCACAGGGGCCTGCCTGACAACATTGATGCTGCCATCTCCCTCCCCAACCGCAACCAGTTCATTCCTGAACCACCTGCTGCACCGCCTGCTGCATCTGTTGTATCTGCTGCCCCTGTTGCCCCTTCTGTAGCTGTTGCACCTGGTGCTGGTGATGCTGCTCGTGCTGGTGATGCTGCTGGGTCGGCACAGGGGCCTGCCTGACAACATTGATGCTGCCATCTCCCTCCCCAACCGCAACCAGTTCATTCCTGCACCACCTGCACCGACTGCCCCACCTGCTGCATCAGCGTCATCTGCTCTGCAGCCCCTGTTGCACCTTCTGTATCTGCTGCCGCTGCTGCCTTGCCGCACCTTCCATGCCTTCCACGTGTGCACCAAGGTGACTATTGAGTCGACTCACAAACTGTATCTGCCACCTCCTTCCCGAACTGCACCCAGTTCCTCTCTCTAACCATTGTTAGTTGGGTGTTATGAATGAACTTGCAGAGTGCGCAGGTAAACGAATAACGAGAATGATCGATTACAGAATGACGATACGGTACAAGGAAAGTAGCGAGGCCTAAATAGGGGAAAAGCTAGCTAGGCGGGGAGGTCGGGCGAAGATGGCTCGGTGATGGTTGCGATTGGTGTGGAGCCGACTCGGAAGTGGTTTTGTGCGACGAAATAGGCCGAACAGGTTAGTCACGTGACCCTCGGGATGTACTCGCTTAAGTGCGAGTACAGTAAAGAATCGCAATTCCTTACACTCTCACACCTTCCAAATAAGCCCTCCCTCACTATAACGAGAACACCGTTGTGTCAAATATTGTAGCCTATAGTGAGGTTTGTCTTAGGGGGTACAAAACTTAGGGTTAGCTATATGTACCCCAACCAACATCAATGCATCATCCATTCCTCATTCTGACATGGTATCAGTTAGGTTAGGATCCTGTGGGATCCCGTTCCTCCGTTCTCCGTTCGTATCTCCCGAGCCTGATCCTACCTCTCGTTCGTACCGGTTCCGTTGTTACCGCGCCTAGTGCCGAGCCTAGCGCCCTTCCCCCCGTCGCCTAGCGCCCTTTCCCCCCCCGTCACGTCGCGCCCTTTCCCCCCGTTGCGTCGCGCCCGTTCCCCCCCGTCGAGTCGCGCCCTTTCCCCCCGTCGCGTCGCGCTCTTTCCCCCCGTCGCGTCGCGCCCTTTCCCACCGTCGCGTCGCGCCCTTTCCCCCCGTCACGTCGCCCTGCCCCGTCCCGTCGCCCTGCCCCGTCCCGTCGCCCTGCCCCGTCCCGTCCCGTCGCCCCGTCCCGTCCCGTCGCCCCTGCCCCGTCCCGTCCCCGTCCCGTCCCATCGCCCCTGCCCCATCCCGTCCCCGTCCCTGTCCCGTCCCGTCGCCCTGCCCCGTCCCGTCCCGTCGCCCCGTCCCGTCCCGTCGCCCCTGCCCCGTCCCGTCCCCGTCCCGTCCCGTCGCCCCTGCCCCGTCCCGTCCCCGTCCCGTCCCGTCGCCCTGCCCCTGCCCCGTCCCGTCGCCCCGTCCCGTCGCCCTGCCCCGTCGCGTCGCCCTTCCCCGTCCCGTCGCCCTGCCCTGTCGCGTCGCCCTTCTCCGTCCCGTCGCCCTCCCCCGTCGCGTCGCCCTCCCCCGTCGCGTCGCCCTGCCCCGTCGCATCGTGCCCGCCCTTTCCCCCGTCCCGTCGACCCTACGCCCTGGCCCGTCGCTCTAGCCCGCTCTTCCGCTGCGACTAAGTCCCACCTGCACCCTAATTTGCCTCTTACCTCCTGCTGTTACTCGCCTGCTCGTTCGCGTTAGTTTTCGCTATGGCGACTCCGCGAGTTCTTCGTTTCGACGCTGACGGTAGACCTCTTGACTTTTCCGTCTGGCTTCTTCGTGCTCGCCGTCTGTTAGAGAGTCAAGTCCAGGGGGGCGAGACCCTCTGGTCGCACGCTACTGGTGACCTCCCCGAGCCCCCCGAGCCTGCCGCTTTAGGTCCTGCCCCTGACGATGCTGCTACGGCTCGCTTTGCCCGTCAGCGCGCTGACAGGACGGCTTGGACGTCACGTGACGCTGCGGCCTGCATCGCACTCAGCAGCCTCCTCCCTGAGTCAGAGGAGGTCCACTTCACTCAGGTTCGCACCGCTGCTGCGTACCTCACTGCGATTAAGGCCCGCTACTCTACTCCCGCTACTGTCTCTCTTGGCCGTCTTTTCCTCCCGTTCCTGTTTCCTGATCTCGCCTCGTTTGAGCGCTCTGCTGACTTGATCGCTCACCTCCGCTCGCTCGACGCTAGTTACCGCGCTGCTTGCACTGAGGCACAGCTTGCACTGCTTCCTCCCCCCATGGCGATTACTATCTATTTCATCGCCACTAGCCTCCCTGACCGCCTTGCCTCCGTACGTGACGCGCTCCTGCTGAAGCACCCTAGTGAGCTGACAGTTGAGGTCCTTGAGTCTGCGCTCAAGGACGTCGAGAGCAACCTTCGCTCGGTAGCTGCCGCCTCTGGTGCTGTGCCCCCCCCACTCTTCCACGGGTGCACAGTCCCGCAGTTACCCACCTTTACTGCCTCACCTGACCCCTCTCCCGCTGTTTTCCCTCGTCCTCAGTCTTCGTTGTCTCCTCCTCCTTCTCAGACTTGGGCCTCTCGTCGCTCCCCTCGTGCTCGTCCCTCGTCTCCTGTTCCCTTCACTGACCTTCGTACAGCCTTCCTTTGTTCTCGTCCACCTCGTCCGTCTCTGTCTGTGCTTCCGTCTCCTCCTGAGTCGGCCCTCACTGTGTCGCTTCCTTCTCCTGTCACTGACTACTACCGCACGTACCGTCCTGTTCTCTCTCGTGTTCTCGCCTCTCTTGTTACCCACCCTCGTGCCTCTGTGTCCTCTGTGTCCGCTCTTACTGCCGCAGTCACTGAGTTTGCCTCTACCCGCCGCCTTGACTTCGCCACCGCTCTTGTGGCTGCTCCTCCTTCCAGTCCTCTGGCCGTCGGGGGTGTGTCTGCCCTTGGCAGTGACGCCCTAGAGGACAGGCAGTTTGAGCTAGAGTTCCTGGCGGCCGCTTCCCCTCATCTCTGTGCCATGCTCCTCGCCCCTGAGGGTGACCCCGACGCCCTTGACATTCCGACTCCTCGCACTTACGCTGAGGCAGTGTCAGGGCCTTGGGCCTCTCAGTGGAGAGCTGCCATGGACGCAGAGATGGCCTCCTACAGATCCACAGGCACCTACGTCGATGAGGTTCCCCCTCCGGGGGCGAACGTAGTCGACGGCATGTGGATCTACAGGGTGAAGCGGCCACCGGGATCTCCTCCGGTCTTCAAGGCGCGCTACGTGGCTAGAGGTTTCAGTCAGCGCGAGGGAGTTGACTTCTTTCAGACCTTCGCGCCCACCCCGAAGATGACCACTCTTCGGGTGTTACTACACGTAGCAGCACAGAGAGACTACGAGTTACACTCTCTCGACTTCTCTACTGCTTTCCTTCAGGGCAGTCTTCACGAGGAGGTCTGGTTGCGTCGTCCCTCTGCCTTCACTGGCTCTTTCCCTCCTGGGACCCAGTGGAGGCTGAGGCGACCGGTTTACGGTCTTCGTCAGGCTCCTCGTGAGTGGCACGACACCCTGCGTTCTACCCTGTCTGACCTTGGGTTCCAGCCGTCTTCTGCTGACCCGTCGCTGTTCGTTCGTCGTGGCACCACACCTTTCTTTGTTCTGGTCTACGTTGACGACCTTGTTTTCGCCACCCCTGACAGGGTTGCTTTGGCACACGTGAAGTCCGAACTGCAGAAGAGACACACCTGCACTGATCTTGGTGAGCTGCGCCACTACCTTGGCCTGCAGATCACCAGGGACAGAGCTGCTCGCACCATTACACTTTCACAGTCGCACATGGTGCAGCAGGTCCTTCAGCGGTTCGGGCTTCAGCACTCCACAGTACAGCGCACACCTCTTGCTGTTGACCACAGACTCACTGGACCCTTTCCTGACGAGCCGTTCGAGCCTAGTGGTCCCTACGCAGAGCTTGTGGGTTGCCTCATGTACCTGATGACTTGTACTCGCCCGGACCTCGCCTTCCCTCTCAGCGTTCTTGCGCGCTTTGTTGCGCCAGGGAGACACCGTCCTGTTCACTGGACAGCAGCTGTGAGGGTGGCGAAGTACCTAGCGACGACGTCAGGCGTGGGGCTAGTTCTTGGAGGGCAGCAGTCTGTCGTACTTACTGGTCACTGTGACTCCTCTTACGCTGACGACGCTGAGACTCACAGGTCTACTCAGGGGTACTGTTTCAGCCTGGGTTCTGGAGCTGTTTCCTGGCGGTCCACGCGCTCCTCTTCGGTCTCGACCTCTACAGCTGAGGCTGAGATCTACGCTGGTGCCATGGCGGCACAGGAGCTGCGTTGGTTGACCTTCTTGCTCACCGACCTTGGTGAGCGGCCGAGCTCTGCACCGACCTTGTTCACTGACAACAAGGCGTCTATTCTCCTTTGTCGAGAGCCACGACTGGAGAGCAGAGTGAAGCACATTCACGTCAGGTACTTTCTTCTGCGAGAGTTGCAGAGGCATGGACAGGCTCGCTTTGAGTTTGTGGAGTCCGAGGCCAACACTGCAGATATCTTCACCAAGGCGCTTCCGCCTTGTGACCACCAGAGGTGCTGTGTGCAGTTAGGCCTTGTTGACACTGGTTCTCGTGTTGCTTAGGCTTGAGTGTACTGTTTACTTTGCTTTCTATATACCTCTGTTACTTCTTGGACTGGCCTTGTGGCCACTGTTGTTTGTGCTCAGACTGTGTGGTGACGTTGTGATCCACCCTGAGCTTCGTTTCTTGGACTGGTCTTGTGACCGTACTCGTTTGGTTCTGCTAGACACCCCTCACTTAGGCTATGGGGGTGTGTCAAATGTTGTAGCCTATAGTGAGGTTTGTCTTAGGGGGTACAAAACTTAGGGTTAGCTATATGTACCCCAACCAACATCAATGCATCATCCATTCCTCATTCTGACACGTTGATCTCTGAAATAGTCTTCAACAATTTTGGAAGAAAGGTTGGAATTGAGGCCGTAGATGCGCGTTGAACTCGATCTGACGGTCGAAGATGAACTGGCCCAAATAAGTTGAAAGTTGGATTGTGGGCCGTTGATCGATCAAGCGTAGATCTGACAGTCGTTGCAGATGCGATTTTGGATGGAAACTGCTGACACAAAATTCAATCACGATGTAGCAGAAACCGTTGATCTTGTCGGTGTGATCGCGATCATCCGCCGTGCTGACGCATCCTGACTAAGTCAATAAAGAAGCCTGAGAAAACGCCAAGGAAAGAACAGTGCAGCGCACTGTCAAGAAGCTAGGCTAGGTTAGGAACCTAGGAGAGTGGCGAGAGAGTGGAATGTCGAGAAAGAAGGGGGTCTCACTATAGAATTGTGGGTACAAGTAGGAGACAAAGGAGGTGAACCACCAACACAAAGAGTTTATAACTACACTAAAGCTACAGCTACAGGCAGGTACAT